CTGAAAAAGCCATAGGTACATGACCTTCTTCAAAAGTCTGTTAGAACCTGTTGTCCTGCTGAGAAACTGGTGCTGTCACTTGGTAGAGATGATGGAATAGGCAGGGGTCATTTCCCGCAGGAGCACACAGGAGCGGAGCTCTAGCAGTGAAGAGCCCAGGGGGCTGGCACATGCAACAAGCCCCGCCCTCTGCTCCCAGCAGCCCTCACTCAGAGCAAGAAGCAGCCAGGTAAGTTGCAGAGCCCCTCCCCCCCGGTCCAAAACAGTCCAGTGGCACCTTTAAGACCAAGTTTTATTCAGGTACAAGCTCTCCCTCCTCTGACCCAACCTCCCCCGCCCCCCCCCCCCCCCAATAGCTAGCAATCCAGAACAGTCCAGTGGAGCCTGAGCAGTGGATGTTGCCTTCCAGTGATGTCAGGGGGTGTGGCATATGCAAATAAGTTATGCTAATGAGCTCCTGCACCTCTGTTTCTATGAAATGACCCCTGGGAATAGGGATTGGCTTCAATATTAGTCCCATCACATTCTGCTTGTTGGTCCCACCAGTAGGGTTGGTCGGTCCCTCCTGGCCACTAGCAGGGGATTGTGGGTAGAATTGCCAGATCAAGGTTGGGAACAGGCCTGCAGCCACGGTTGTGCGCAGGGGGTTGGGACCCCACCAATCAGCACTAGGGTTTGTTGTGAAATCTGCCAGAATTCTTCTGCCAGTGAAAGAGGGTATTTCCTTCCCTTCACCGGCCTCCCTTCCAGGCTTTTCCAAGGAGGAAGAGAGTCTCTTTTCTCCTCTCACCTCCCTCCCGGGCTTTCCCTTTGCATTAATCTGGCGAACCAGGTTCGATTCCCCACTTCCCCACTTCCCCACTGGAAGCTAGCTGGGTGACCTTACTCAAGTCACAGCATTCTCAGCCTAAAAATAAGACTATCTCGCTACCTAGCAATGCTTCCTCTAAGCTGTGGAGTCTTGTGAGCAAAAATTCTACTTTGTGAGCTACTGGCATTAAGGTTGTGAGCGAGCGGTTTGGCTACTGCATAAAATTAGTTTGCTCTGGAGCCCTCCTTCTCGAGCAAAGACAAAAAATGTGTGAGCCAGAGGCTAAAAACCTGTGAGCTAGCTCACGCTAACCCAGCTTAGAGGGAACACTGCTACCTAGTGATGCCAAAAAAGAGCTAAAGCATCGGCAGCCGAACAGTCCCTCTGGGATCTCCTGGCTATTCCACACACAATGCCATATGCTGATTAATTAATTAATTGCACTTCGCTCCTGCACAAAGTGGTTGCCTCCGCTGTGCTCTGAAGCCCGTGACCTTAGCTTGCTAGCTTGTGCCAGGCATGGATGCCTCTGATCTGCAGCACTGCCGCACATTAAGGTAGAAACATTTTTTTTTGGGGGGGGACTCTATTTTAGCCTCAGTGGGGAGGGTTCAAAGGTGGTTGGAATCAGAGGGGGTGGGTGGCGGCAGCAGCCTCTGTGTTCTGCCTTTCACAAGTGGACTCGTGGCCATTTGACAGTGTGCGCTGGGGCCCACGCAGCTGTTTTGGCCCTTGAAAACACATAGGGTGAGGGGGAAAGAGCCCTGCACTACAAGCCCACACTGGATCGGGGCATCACAGCTTTTAAAATCAATGTAAAATGGTGATCCTGAACTGGTGCTGGCAACAGTTTGGCCTTCTTTTTTAACTTGGGCTCAGCAAGGTGGGGGAGTCAGTCTATTTTATCTGTAGAGGGGACCCTCCCCAGCTTCTCTTCCCATCTTTGTGAAGGAAAAAAGTTCTCCCTTCCCCTTACCTACCTGCTAGGCTGTAGCTGCAGAAAAGTGTGCCTGCACATACTCGCTAGGGTTGCCAACTTCATGTTGGGAAACTCCTGGAGATTTGGGGGATGGAGTCTGGGGGAGGTGGGGGAGGGACATTAGTCAGGTATAATACCATAGAGTCTATCCTTGGAAGTAGCCGTTTTCTCCAGGGGAAGTGATCTCCCTAGTCTGGCGATCACTTGTAATTCTGGGAGATCTCCAGACCCCACCTGGAGGTTGGAAACCCTGTTGCATTCCAACCCGAGTGCCTTTAAGGCCTTATAGCAAGTTAAGTGGAGCTGAACCAGAGCTTTTGGGGTGTGTGTGTGTGTGAGTGTGTGAGTTCAATGGAAGATGGTGTTGTGAGTCAAAAGGGACGTCCAATCCAAGGAAACGCACCTTCTTCTGTGACCTCTGTTAGCAAAGTCTCATTTCATGCTCAGAGGAAGAAACAGACACTTTTATGGTGATACCTTAGTGGGGGGGATTCCTAATATGCCAAAGGAGTTCCTGCTACAAAAAGAGCCCTGGAGACCTTAGTGGGGGGGATTCCCATTTGGCACACTGCAACCCAGGAAAGTGGAAGTGGGACGATATGGGGTTGGGGATCGTCATGCATTTACAAGACTCTGTTCACCATGAGTAAATAAAGGAAGGAGGTATTTGGTTTTAAACAAAATGGATTGCCGTTTAACCTTCTTTGTAGAATGATCCCTTGTAGAGACTTTGCACTACATCATGGCTCATCCATAGGCTGCAGTCACTTTCAATACACTTCCAGTGCACTTTCCGACTGGATTTTGCCAGTTCACACAGCAAACTCCAGTTGGAAAGTGCATTGAAAGTGGATGATTTAGTGTGTGTGACCGCAGCCATAATAAAGGAAATAAACAATGACCACCGCTGTACTAATTTGTGACCCCAATAAAATTTTTCTGGCTATGGGCCTGATCGAGAAACTCCTGGAGATTTGGGGGTGGAGCCTGGGGAGGACAGGGACCTCAGTGGGGCATAACACCATAGACTCCACCCTCCAAAGCAGCCATTTTCTCTGGGGGAACTGATTTCCGTAGTCTGGAGATGAGCTGTAATTCGGGGGATCCCCAGGTCGTACCTGGAGGCTGGCATCCCTGTCCACGAGCGTACCCAGGTGGTTATTAGGATGACACGGACGTGTGCATTTGCATAAAACATACTGTACGCCACAATGCGTTGTCTGTTTCTGGTGGCTTCTTTTAAAAAAAAAGAAAAGAAAATGTATCTATTTTTAAGCCCCATGTTTTGAATGAGAGAACAGGGCGGGGTGTGTGTGCCACAGGAGGGAGAGGCATGGCTGCAGGGGAAATGAGTAATTGCACAGATAAAAGCTGGAACACAAACCCTATTATCCATCAGTCTGACACAAGAGACAGCATTTTTTGTTGGGCGGGTATAATCGTCCTGCCGGAGTGGAAGTTTCTGGCATGATGTCACCCTTCTTTAATAAATCAGCCCCCCCCCCCCCTCCAGTCAAGACAAGATCCTTAGGCTTGGCCTGGCACCTCCTGTTTAGTCTGCACAAACACCGCCTGACAAAACTGGAGCAAACTTCACCTGCAGAACTTCTGTCTAAATGAAATGGGATTTGTGCCAGCTGGCCTTGCCCTAGCACAACTTCTGTTCCTTTCAGAGGGACATGTGCTGGGGGGAAAAATATTTGAAGCTTGGGATGTTTTACAGCACTAATTAATTAAAAAAAACAACAACAAACCCTCTACTAAATGCAGAACTGCTCTGACCTGGGTGGCCCAGGCTAGTCTGATCTCAGAAGCAAAGCAGGGTTGGCCCTGGTTAGTACATGGATGGGAGACTGCCAAGGAAGTCCGGGGTCAGTACACAGAGGCAGGCGGTGGCAAACCACCTCTGTTCGTCTCTCGCCTTGACAATCCTTCAGAGGTCGCCAGAAGTCACCTGCGACTTGATGGCACTTCCTGTCATCCCCAAGTGCGCAACTGAAGCATGAGGCTAGGATAGTTTCTATTTAAAATAAGGAAAAAGTGCAAACTTTTAACAAAAGGTCGTAGAAGGGAAGTTGTTAGTTGCACATCTCGCTTGACGTTCACAGGCTGCGAGCATTAGCCACACTACAGAGATGGATGATAGGCGGATTTTCCGGGCGCGATCACACCACAACATCTGGGAAGCGTAGAGCTCCCGTGGTGAACCCGAGGCTTCCCGCCTAAGATGCGGAGAAAAAAACTAGTACCTCCGAGGTACTAGTTTCCGGAAACCGCGGGGCAAGGGCTGGCGTCTGATTGCATTTCCGGTGGTAGTCCGTGGCATCCGGCGCCCGCCCATGTCCCATCGCAAACAGGTTCCCCCCCCAAGTCTCCACAGGACGCGCACAAGCACCCAACGGCGCATGCACACAAAGAGGAAAGCGAAAGTCCCATTGTTCCACAGAATCGCACATGCCGTTGGTGCGATTGCGCCGCGCCACTTCTTTGCCGCACCGCAGTATGGTTGTGTGATCGCCACCTTGCCTCTAACCACGGGACCCCAACGGGATGATCGGGCGGCCGCGCGTTATTTTGCTCCGGGCCAACCCCCCCCCCCCCCCATTTTCCAGCCCGTGTGACCGGGACCATAGATGATAAAAATGGTGCAAAAGTGCAAATTCACGTTTGAATTTTCACAGGCCTGATATTAATGACATGGATCTTTGTTGAACTGCGTGTCTGCACTTTCATTTCCTTGTTTGTTTCTTACAGTTTGCTAGGCAGAAGGGCTGACCTGTCCCCTCCCTTACAGAGTGCAAATTCCTGTCAGATTTCCTCAGTGCCTTCTGAAGCGTGCAAAATAAAAATCGGCACGCACCTTTCTGTGAGCATGCTATTCCACAGTCACGATTGCAAGTGTAGGATTTAGCATTCTCAGATACAGAGCACTGTGTGATTGGCAGGAAAAGGGTGTGAGCAGAATTTAGAATTCTATCAAATTCAGGAGCTATGCTAGACACGTCATATCTTCGGCTCACACTCACTGCTGAAGAAGTGATGTTGTGTTTGCAAGGACAGGAATGGCAGATGTCAGGTGCTTGTGTACAGTATTGGAATCCAAAGTGACAATCGGCGGGTTAGTGAAATCCCTGAGCCAGTGGTCTCTTGAACAGCTTCTCTTCCAAGGCCTCCCAGGCACTTGATGATCTCTTCTTTTTTACTTTCCAGGCTACAGTGTGACTGTCAGCACAACACCTGTGGAGGGTCATGTGATCACTGCTGCCCAGGTTTCAACCAGTTTCCCTGGAAACCAGCCACTACTGTCAGCGCCAATGAATGTGAACGTGAGTTGTGCTATCTGAAACTTGGATTGCTTGACATACATTTTCCTCTCATTTAAAGGGCAAACTTGATTTCACCTGATGTCCCGTGTTGGTCTGTGTTTCACATTCACGCAAGATTCAGAGACACAGATGACATTTGGTTCTCTCGTGCCACCATTTTACGTACTGAATTACTAATCTATGGAATTCTCTGCCCTAAGGTGTGGTGATGGCCAGTGGCTTGAATGGCTGTGAAAAAGGTGTAGATAAATTGGAAGTTCCATTGGTAGCTACCATGTTTCCCTGAAAATAAGACACTGTCTTATATTTATTTTTTCTCAAGAAGACACACTAGGGCTTATACCACAAATGCATAGAAATCCTGCTAGGGCTTATTTTTGGGGTAGGTCTTATTTTTGGGGAAACAGGGTATTACCTATGATAGCTAAGTGACATACCAGATGTTCAGAGACAGAATGCCACTGAGAGGCAGACAATTGGGGGAGGAGGTGGGGCTGAGGTTTTCATGCCCTGCCTGGGGGCTTCCCCAGAAGCATCTGGTTGAATACTGTTGGGACAGGATGTTGGAGAAGATAGACAGCTTGGTCTGATCCAGCTGGACTCTTGAAATGCCTTAGGTGTACTGGTTATAGTAGGAGTGTTATTTCTCCCTCATCATTAAGTTGTGTGTAAATTCTCTCTTCATCTCTCACTGGAGCTCAAGATTAATCATTCTGCATTCAGTAGGGTGGCCCACAAGGCCAAGCGAGATCACCTTCAGATGTACAGTCCCTTTTTCTTTTTAAAGAATGCAGCCATTATAAACCTGTAGTGGCTAGTCATCTATCTCTTTGGGATGTTCCTTTTGCAATGCAGTCATTCTGCCAAAGCTTCCAATCGATGCAGCGGTTAGCTGAAGAATGTATAAATCTGACTATGTACCATTAACTGTGTTTGTTTTGTAATCCCAGCCTGCAGTTGCAATGGCCATGCCTACGATTGTTACTATGACCCGGAGGTTGACCATCACAAGGGCAGCAAAAATCGTGATGGCCATTTTGAAGGAGGAGGGGTTTGCATCGACTGTCAGGTGAGGGTTAAGGAGCCAAAGAGCTCTCGTGTCTCTTGGACAGGGCCCGCTTGGAGTCACATGATGTCATCTGTGAGAAAACATGATCTCCTTGTCGTAGTTAGATTATCTCTCTGAGCAGTTCAGCTGGAAGGGATCTGAAAAGAAGGTAATCTACCTTCTTGAGTCGAGACATATCAGATCAATCCTGCCAAATTAATCCATCTAATTCAGAAGTCACTCAAGTTCACAGTGACAGCTGAGGCACAGATGGAATGGTAGGAGACCTGTTGCTGACTGACTTTATTTTTTTTTTTAGCATCACACAACAGGCATCAACTGTGAGAGGTGCATCCCAGGGTACTACAGATCCCCAGATCATCCAGTGGATTCACCATACATTTGCTATCGTGAGTATAGCCTCTTGTGTATATCTTAGGTACAGGACAGGATCCAAAGGTACCACATGTGGTATTCCTCACTTGGAGCTTTTCACTCCTCCCCATCTCACTGTCTTCCCGTCCTGAATGTCCAGACTCCTCTACAGCAGCACGGCTTGTGGAGTGAGGGTCTGGTAGGGGAAGGAAGAACTGATCACGCACTCGCCTATCAAGTGCACACATAAATATTTAGTGTGCACTTGCGGCCCTCTCTGTATCTTGTCATAGGTTCTGGCCTGTGGTTTCTACCGCTGGGATTGCTCCCGTGATGATGATGGTTTTGCTTTTTGTAACGCGTTAGTGGGACACATCTATTCATATTGTAAAACAGGGATCCCCAACATCATGCCTGTGGGCAGGGCTTTTTTTGTAGAAAAAGCCCAGCAGGAACTCATTAGCATAACAGGCCACACCCAACAGCTGAAACTCATTAGCATATTAGGCCACACCCTGCCACCACAGCTCATTAGCATATTAGGTCGCATCCCCCGGTTGCCAGAAGTGTGGTCATCCAGCCACACCCACCTTTTGCTTGTTATTCTGTTTACCTTGTTTGTTGTCAAAACCCAGGGCCTTTTTTTGTAGCAGGGACTCCTTTGCATGTTAGGCCACACACGCGTACTGTAGCCAATCCTCATGAGTTCCTGCTGTTGGGTGTGGCCTATTATGCTAATGAGTTCCTGCTGGGTGTGGCCAGCTTGGGAGCCAGCCGGAACTCCATTCCTGTGCGTTCCTGCCCAAAAATAGCCCTGCCTGTGGGTACCATGGCGACCGCTGATACCTGTTCTGGTGCTCACTAAATGTATTAAGAAAGTAAGTGTGACTGGGTGGGGTTTTTTTGCCCAGCAAGAAGTTTGAAGACATTTTTTAAAATTTTGCTATGGTAGCAGCTGCCGTCACAACACAAGGGTTTTCACTGTGTGACTTAAGGTAAGCTGTGGCAGCCATTTTGTGGCTGCCTCCACCTCCTGTGGCAGCTGTTTTTTTGGCAGCCATTTTGTGCACACAGGCTCAGAAAGATTGGGGACCCCTGTATGTAAAATAATGGGAGGAATTTTCTGGCAACATGTAGCTCTTTGGAAAATATTCAAGAAGGCAGGCTTGAAGACTGATTGGAAGAACTGGGGTATCTTACACCCTTAGCCAGCCGTCTGTGTCACCTTACTCCAGAGAAGCCCCATGAACCAAGGTGTGTTCAGTAACTTCAGACCAGCGCAGGGGATTCACGGACCTGTTATTCCTCCCTAGGTTGTAATTGTGACTCAGACTTCACCGATGGCACCTGTGAGGACCTGACTGGTCGCTGTTACTGCAAGCCGAACTACACGGGAGAGCTTTGTGACTCATGTGCAGACGGTTACGTGGACTTTCCGCATTGCTATCGTATGTATTGTGAACACAAGCGTGGGTCTTTCAGGCAAGGGTGGGAGGAGCCAAGCATAATTGGCGGTGGAAAGTACCTTCAAGTGGGCTACTTACGACGACCCTGTAGGGTTTTCAAGGTGAGAGACAGTCAGAGGTGGTTTGCCATTGTCTTCCTCCTTGTAGTGACCTTGGGTTTCTTTGGTGGTCTCCTGTCCAAATACTAACTAAGGCTGATCCTGCTTAGCTTCTGACATCTGATGAGATTAGGATAGCCTGGGCCATCTAGATCAGGGGTGTCAAACATGCGGCCCGGGGGCCAGATCAGCCCCCCCGGTGGGCTTCTGTCAGGCTCGCAGTGGAACTGGCTGTCTTCTGCTTCTTCTTCCAGTTCTGCAGCTGCTGCGTCATCATAGGTTTGCAGCTTACAGATACACACCTGAACAGCATACTCAAGATTGCAACAGACATTTTGATGCAATAATTCAGAGCAAGAGGTGTCAGTTATCAGACACTGTTAAATAAACAAAATATTGCAAGAGTGCTAATGTTTTAAGCATGTTTGTATTTTAAGTAAAAAAAAACATGTTTGTGTCCTTTATAAAGTTTATATCTCTGCTACCTGGCATTACATTTTATGACACACATGGCCCGGCCCAACAAGGTCTCATTTATGTCCGATCCGGCCCTCATAACATATGAGTTCGACACCCCTGATATAGATCAAGGTGAGCATCATTACTAGCTTGAATTTCAGACACTTTTAGTGGGAGGAGGGGATTAGGGCTATGACATTTAATCTATTAATTAACATTTTTGATTATCTTCCTCCCCTTTTTTTGTAAAAAAAAGCATCTTATGTATAATGAAAGTACGTATAAAAATTGCATATTTATTTATTTTTATTTATTTGTTTGACTTATATCCCGCCCTTCCCGCAAGCGGGCTCAGGGTGGGTAACAATAACAGAACACATCCAACAATTGAAACAAGTTATATGAGCACTAATTGTTAAAAACAGTTAAAATGAGAAAATATCATTCTAAGTAGCAGGAATTCATGGATCTTGCGACATTAAAAAACAGGCAACTGCTCTGTCAGTGAACAAGCATTCCTCCTTTCCCCTGTCTGTTAATTAACTAAAATGGATGTTATTATGGATCTAAGGCGTCTTAGGCAACAGTCCTAAAAGACGCCGTGACACTCCTTGTAAACAGAATTACGTATCACTACGTCTTTCAACTCCAAACTACCTACTTCATAGGATTGGTATGAAAGTGGATCCAGTGAAAGATGGATACAGGCCAGAAAAGCCCTTAATTTTTGAGCTGATGAGAAGAGGCAATGTATTCGAATCCAGAAGTATTTCTCTGTAGGGGGCTGGGCTTAGTTTAAGATCTTGCTGCTGAAGAATGTCTTCTTTGTTATGGAATTAACACTTGCATTGTCTTTTCCCTCCCTTAGCTGTGCCGGTTTTCTCTTTCAATGACACCGGAGAGCAGGTCCTTCCAGCTGGACAGATAATAAGTAAGCTTTTTGGGGGGTTTCCTTTTTTCTGATACATTATGGTTTACTATGCTTATTATTAACCTTTTATCATCATTTCAGCAGTGGCTTGCTTGTGGCATGTGCCTATTTAACAACGTCTTTTCCTTCCTGAACTCTCCGCCCACCCCAGACTGTGACTGCAATGTTGCCGGGACCAGAGCGAATGCCTGCCGGAAAGACGCGCAGCTTGGGCTGTGCTTGTGTAAACCCAACTTCCAGGGGACCCAGTGTGATCAGTGTGCCCCTGGGTATTATGGACCAAGTTGCCAGCGTGAGTAACCAAAGCCAGAGTGAAGGTTGTTCAGTCTGTTTCCTTCTTTTGACAACTGGGAGAGTGGGCTTTCTATTGTTAAAGCAAACGCACCATTTACTGAGTTTCATAAGCCAAGTCCTCTGCCTTTAAGGGCTTACAATCTAAAAACAGTGAGAAAAGCAACAGGTACTCATTTATTTTTCTGCTATCCCACCTTTCTTCCAGCAGTTTACATATTTGGTCACATCATGAGAAGACCAGAGTCACTAGAACAGACTATAAGGCTAGGAAAAATTGAAGGCAGTAGGGAAAGAGGAAGACCCAAAATGAGATGGATTTACTCAAGAAAGGAAGCTGCGGCTTTCTGTTTGCAAGACCTGAGCAAGGCTGTTTTGGAGGTCATTAATTTACAGGTTTGCCACGAGTTGGATGTGATTTGAGGGCACATAACACATACATAGGTTTCCTAGGAGGTCTCCCCTTCGAGGCACCAACTAGACCTCCTTAGCTTTAGCAAGGATACCGTATGTGCTTTCCAGCCATACCCTATGTCCCTGGGTTTCATGATATTAGACTTAGGGCTCCAAAAGACTGTCAAGTCACTAAGATGGACCTATTTCACTAAGAGAGCCAGTTTGGTGGTTAGGAGCATGGATTCTAATCTGGGGGAACCGGGTTTGATTCCCTACTCCTCCACATGCAGCTGCTGGTATGACCTTGGATCAGTCATAAGATCTTTCAGAGCTGTTCTCTCAAGGGCAGTTCTCCAGAGAGATCTCTCAGCCCCACCTACCTCACAGGGTGTCTGTTGTGGGGAGGGGAAGGGAAAGGGATTGTAAACTGCTCTGAGACTCCTCCAGGTAGTGAAGGGTAAGGTATAAATCCAATCTCTTCTCTTCTTCTTCTAAGGCATGCACCTCTGTTGAGCAGGCACTTACATTTTCCATGTTATTCAGGTTATGTCCTCTGAACAAAGTGCATCATGTGAAGATGCCCTTGATTGAGGGTATGGAATCTTCCCCATAGGGAGTCACCAGAAAGCTTTAACCTTGACTTAAGTGTACCTGACAAATGGGATAGTGGTACAGGGGCATGTGCAATACTGCGCATCAAAACGGTCATTCATTTATTTTCTTTTTCCCCACAGCTTGTCAGTGTTCAGGGCCTGGGAACTACGACGGTTCATGCAACAGTGAGACGGGCCAGTGTCTCTGTCGAGGTGGATTTGAAAGCTTCTCTTGTGATCAGTGTGCCCCCGGCTACTTCAGCTACCCTCTGTGTCAGCGTGAGTTCTCAGATGAGCTGTGGAGTTCGACAAGCTTGTGCTGTGCAAATGGCGTGCATTGTTGCTGTTTTCACTGTGGGAAAAACAGTTTGCTAGACGTCATGGGTTTGTGCATGAAGTCTTAGAACCGGCTTCCAGAAGGCAGGGCTTCCTTGTCCTTCCTTCCTGTTTCCTGTTCCTCACTTTCAGGAACAACTCAAATGGATTATTCCTTGCTTTCTTTTCTCCATGTCGTCATCTTGGTGTTGGACAAAACTGGAAGCAGAACAGATTTTGCCAAATAAGTGATTACTTGTAGAGCAATTCTTCGCCTGGTGAAATTTTTAGGTGCTAGGTGGGAACTTGATTCAACAAAAACGTATGATTGAAATGGCCATGCTTTTTGTAAACTTGTACCCCTGATGTTTTTACTGCTAGTTTGAAACCGCTTTTAATTGCTGTTTCCGATCTACTGCTTTTGTCCTAATTATTTGGTTATAATTTTATTATTAAAACCTCATGGTTAGTATTGTGAGTTGCCTGGGACATTTCTGGTAGAGGCGAAACTAGTAAATATTTGAAATAAGTAAATATAGGCTTGGATTCTATCCAGCGTGAGAAGAGTGGTAGTTTTAAAGTGTAACTTTCTAGCTCCCTACTGCAGTCATCTGTGGCCCCAAATTGTGCCCCTGTGGTTCAGTGACACCCCCCCCTTCCCCGAACACCATGGAGGCTGAAATAAGGAACTACAGTGGGAGAGGGGAATCAGGAAAAATTGCTCTGCCCTTATTCCATCTCAAGCGGAAAGGAAGCTTAGGATCTGAACCATAATCTGTTTTGCTGGGTCAGCCTGATAATAAGATTTTGCATTTCCTTTCTACAAAACAAAGCACAGTTTCTTGAGTAGGCGATGTCTAAATAAGCAACCACTTCTGACCAAGACTTTTTTTATATAGTTTGTTTCATCAACGATCTTCTGTGCAGTCCCACATGGGGGATTGTGCATGAGCCGGCCTGCCATTGGTGAGGATCTTACAGCTAAAAGCTTTCAGGGAATGCTGCACACTGGAGCCAGAAACGTGTTCCCACCCAGGGACCACGTGCTCCATGCAGCAGCACCCCCACTCTCAGTTCCTCTTTTGCCGCTGAAGGAGAAAGTTGTCTTTTTGGAGTCTCCCATCTTTCGCGTTAAGGAGGAATTGCTTCCCAGGTTCCCTGTGGTTGTTCTAGCTTCTGAGCTTGTACCATGGCTCAGAAAGCCCTTTTCAAAAAAATATACCTGTTGTGGGGTGAAGATGACCCAAACCGACAAACGTGACCTAAGTCTGTTTTGTTTGGGTGAAGGTCCCCACGTGTAAGGCCTGCCAGCACGTCATCCCCAAAGCTCGAGGGGATAGGGCATCAAAACTTAAAGCAACATTGTGGGAGAAAGCCCTCAAAGAATCGGAGCCGTTGTCCAAGCTGGCCCCAGAAAAAATTGTCCATTGCCACGTCCTCGGAATCATCGTGGTTGGATCTGCCTCCCGGGTCTGATCTGGGCCGTGCTAATTCTAATAGAGGGAAGAGGGCTTCATCTCAAACTTTGTCCCGGTAGATTGTCTCAACCATTAGGGCAGAGGTGTCAAACTCATTTGTCACAAGGTCTGGAGCTGACATAAATGTCACTTTATTGGGCTGGGCCATGTGTGCCATAAACGTAATGCCAGGCACCGGAGAAAGAAACCGTATAAAGGACAGCAGCTTGTAAACTCTAAGTTGGTGTATCCTCACTGCAAGGTCCCGTGGGCGGGGTGTGTGTGCAGAGGAAAACCCACATAGGCGAACTGGAGAGGCAGCAGCGCAGCGCTGGGCAGATGCTCCCACAATGCTTGACTGCTGCAGATCAGGTTGTTCTGCCATGCTGAAGCACCAATGGAGTGGCTCTGCCTACTCCCCCCAGTACTCCCTCCCTTGCATTAGTTGCTCGCGGGCCACATAAGAACCCTGGAGGGGCTGGTTCTGGCCCCCAAGCCTAATGTTTGACACCCCTGAATTAGGGAATGCTATGTTTTGGCCAGGTTGCCATGCCCGCTAAACAGTCACACCCATTCTATTAGAGCTGTAACTTCTTTGGCGGCTTTCTTCGATGGAATACTGTTGACGGAGATTTGCCAAGCTGCTACTTGGTCGTCAGCAGACACGTTCATATTACACTTTGGATCTGCAGGCAAGGTGAGAAGCTCGAGCGGGGAAGGCAGTACTTCATTCACTGTTAAAGTGAGGAGAGCTTGCCCCACTGCCTGGTGAGTAACCCGCTAGAATCCCCATGTGGAACTGCACAGAAGACCGATGATGAAAACAAACTTCCTTGTAGCTATTTTTCATCGAGTATCTTCAGTGCGGGCACACATACTGTCCCTCCTGCCGCACTGCATACTCTGGCTTCGGCAGCGCTAGAGGTACCGATGGTGGGGTCTCTGATGTGCAGGAGCTCGTGGTCCCTGGGTGGGAACAAGTTTCTGGCTCTGGGGCACTGCACCCCCTGGAGGCTTTTAGCTGTAAGAACCTCTCTGGTGGCAGGCCTGCTCATGCACAGTCTCCCATATGTGCCTGCACAGAAGACACTCAACGAACGATAGTTACAGGTAAGTGCAACTTTGTTTTATAGTCTGCTTTTCTCTCTGAGACTCTAGGCAAGGCACAGAAATTAAGAACAATGTAATGAGGATAGTATAAAGCATGAAGAAAGTACCTTAAAACGGGATTACAACTTTGAAGAACAGTTCAGCAAAACAGTGTAATATCGTATAATAAAACCATGCAAGAAAACTGGATCACAGAATTAAAAACAAGGCATCACATACCAGAAACAGTTAAATGAAAATTGTCTAAAATTTCCAAAGACATTTAAACTGCAGCCCTTTCTAAAAATGCCCCCTTGAACAGTTCCATTTTACACGTTGCATGGAATGGTAGAAGTGTGGGAGCCCCCTGAGCTCAAGGAAAGGCTATGTGTATGCATTACCCTCTGGAATACTCAGAAGCCCATCCTGCCTGCCTGCCTGCCTGCCTGCCTGCCTGCCTGCCTGCCTGCCTGCCTGCGTGTAACATCACCATCGGAAAGAGTTGGTTTTCCTGGGATTTTCGTTGTCAAGAGCCCAGCATTCTGAGCCCCGTGTCTTCTTTCCCTCTTAGTTTGTGGCTGCAGTGCTGTTGGGACATTGCCGGAAGGCTGTGATGCTTCTGGCAGGTGTTATTGTAAACCTGAATATGACGGTCTTCATTGTGACCGGTGCAGCTTTGGATATCATTCCTACCCTCACTGCCAAGGTATGCCAGTTTGTGAAAGGGTTTGCTAGGGAGAGGGTTGGAAAAAAGGGTTGGGCCTAAGGAAGAAGTATCCCTTTACATGGGAAGACCTCGAGAAAAGTCATGCCCTTGTTCAGGACTTTTTCGGGCAAGATCTAGGCTATACATATTTTCCATTTTCCATCCACTTGGTTCTGTTTATTCATCCTCACTTAATACAGTTTATGGCAGGTCTAGAGGAAGACAATGGCAAACCACCTCTGCTCGTCTCTTGCTTTGTAAACCCTATGGGGTTGCGATAACTTGGCTGTGACTTGATGGCAGTTTCCACCACCATCAGTACATGGCAGGCAATGCTCCCTCTAAGCTGTGGAGTCTTGTGAGCAAAAATTCTACTTTTGTGAGCTACTGGCATTGAAGTTGTGAGAGGGTGATTTGGCTACTGAGTAAATTAGTTTGCTCTGGAGCCATCCTTCCGGAGCTAAGACATAAATGTGTGAGCCGGAGGCTAAAAAACTGAGCTAGCTCACACTAACTCAGCTTAGAGGGAACACTGATGGCAGGCCTTTTGCAGAGTGTCTCCTTATGAAACCCGTCCCGAGGTCCTGATCCAACAGTGGTGGGAAATGTGGCAGCCCTGCAGAGTTCAAGACAAGAGATGAACAGAGGTGATTTGCCATTGCCTGCCTCTGCAGACCAACCCTGGACTCCTTGATGGTTTTTCATTCAATACTCACCAGGACTGACCATGCTTAGCATCCATAACAGGACTAGCTTGGGCCATCCGTGTCTGGGTCCTAGCCCAATATGAATTCCTTTTTTAAGCGGAATAGTAAAAAGCCTAGTAGCACCTTTAAGACTAGCAAACTTTATTGTAGCATAAGCTTTCGAGAAACACAGCTCTCTTCATCAGAGGCATCTGATGAAGAGACCTGTTTTTCTCGGAAGCTTATGCTACAGTGTTAGTCTTATGTTAGTCTTAAAGTTGCTACGGGGCTTTTTACTATTTTGCAGCAACAGACTAACATGGCTAACTCCTCTGGATTTTTGAAGTGGTATTCTGCTCCAGCAAGCTGAAATGCTGTTTTCCCCCCCAAACTAAAAGATTTAATTTATATGTTGGAAATGTTCTGCATTTTATGCTGATTTCCCCCACCCCTGGTGGATGTGCCCAAAAGTATCTCAGTACTGGTCATGAATTATATTGGTTATCCAATCGGTCATGGAAGGCAGATTACCCTCGGATCCAGTATTGATTTTACCGCAATATGTTCATGTAAAATGTTCGGTATAATATTAGACCATTGTTAAAAAAAATATATTGTTAGCTACTAAAATAAGGTCGGGCAAAATATCAGGACTCATCTGTACCTTCAGTCCAAGAATGGCTTAATAAGACTTTGGATATTGTGCTGATGGACAAACTTTTCGGAAATGTCCTTTCTAGTGTGGGAGTGCTCTTTTCCAACAAATGTCCAACAAAAGTGGACCTTATTTCTTGATTTTTTTTGGGGGGGGGGGAACAGAACTATTTTCTTCAGTGATGTAACTTTAATTTGGTTGTTGGAACCTACAGCTTGCTTATGGTGATCCCGTAGGGTTTTCAAGGCAAGAGTCATTCAGGGGTAGTTTGTCATTGCCTGCATCTGTGTTGGGATCCTGGACTTCCTCACTGGTCTCCCATCTAAGTACTAACCCGGGCCAAACCTGCTTAGCTTCTGAGATCTGATGAGATGGGGTGAACTTGGGCTATCCAAGCCAGGTCACTATTGCACTAAATAATAAAAAGGCTAATACAGAAATCTGTTAAACTCTAGGAAGAAGGGAAGCTTTGTACTTGTTTTAGAAGTAATGCTTCACAGCCATTCCATGTTCTTGACCTTTGATTTGTTTAGAACCAGTGCAGTGCCACCTAAGTAAATTTTCCAGACATATCAAGGGTATTTTCGTGTCAGTCCCTCACTTCCCATTTCTCCTTCTCAAACCCTCTTACTTGTCTTTCATTTGCAGCTTGTTCCTGTGACCTCCGGGGCTCTGTGGACAATAACTGTAGCCCGGTTGGTCAGTGTCAATGCCACTCAAACTACATAGGCCATACATGCAACCAGTGTGCATCGGGCTTCTTTGGGTATCCTACCTGTGCAGGTCAGTCGTCAGATGTCACCTTGTTTTTTGTCAGCACAGAAAGACTTTGCTTTAGACATACTGCATGTTGTACTGCATGTTGCCATTGACTCAGCAATCATTCCTGTTCGCTTGGATCCCACCATTCCATTCCCGTGTTATTGTTTGAGCTTCTGGCTTTGCTGTCACTTAAAAACAATAAAAAAACAAAAGTAGAGAGGAGTTTAACAGGAAAACACTGGCTGGCAATGATCAAGGATTTAAAAGGCAGTATATAGATGAGAAGCATTTAAAAATTGTCATCCTGTTGAAGAAGTTGCAATATATGATGCAGTCTTTGTGGTGATCTGGTTATAGGTTTGATTCCCCACTCCTCCACTTGCACTTGCTGGATGACCTTGGGCAAGCCATAGTTCTGGCACAGCTGTTTTTGAAAAAAAGAGCAGTTTCTGTCAGAGCTCTCTCAGCCCCACCTACCTCACAGGGTGTCTGTTGTGGGGAGGGGAAGGGAAAGGAGTTTGTAATCCGCTCTGAGACTCCTTTGGGTAGTGAAGGGTGGGGTATAAATCCAATCTCTTCTTCTATAGGGTCTTGTGTGGCCTTTTGGTTTCATATGATCCTTTCCACCTCTTCTGGCTGGAGCATTTCACCCCACACAAAATTCAAAGTCCTGCTTCAGCTTTCCCTTGTTATTAGTGTTGAAAGGGCTGTCAAGTCACAGCTGATTTATGGTGACCCTGTAGGGTTTTCAAGGCAAGAGAGGAACATAGCCCCCGGTCACACGGAGCATTAGCCACGCTAGAGGGACGGAAGATAGGCGGATTTTCCGGGCGCGATCTCACCCCCACATCTGGGAAGCGTGGAGCTCCCGTGGCTCACCTGAGGCTTCCCGCCGAAGACGCGCGGTAAAAAACTAGTACCTCGGAGGTACTAGTTTCCAGAAACTGCGGGGCAAGGGCGGGCGTCTGGTCGCGTTTCCGGTGGCATCCGGCGCCCGCCCATGCCCCATTGCGAAAAGGTGGGGTTTTTTCCCGAAGTCTGCAGGGATGCGCACAGGCACCCAACAGGGCACGCGCATACTTCAAGTTAAAAACAAAAACACAACCCCGTTTGCCATGCTGCACCGCTTCTTTGGCGCGTCGTGTGATCGGCACCTCCCCCCTAACCACAGGACCTCGACGGGACCGCAAGGGGACACCTGATCGCGCAGTTGCGCGTTATTTCACTGCGGGGCAAACAGCCACGCCTCCCCCCTGCGATATCTGGCCTGTGTGACCGGGGCCATAAGTGGTTTACCATTGATAGCCTCTGGGACTTCCTTGGTGCTCTGCTATCCAAGTACTAACCAGGGCTGACCCTGCTGAGCTTCTGAGATCTGGTGAGATCACACTAGCTTGGGCCACCCATGCCAGAGGTCTCTTGTTATTATGGGTCCATGTGTTGCCAATTACAAAATTACATGTTAAGTGTAATCAGACCATGCGTTAAGGCTGGTTAACCTGTGCACATTCACCCTGTGATGACTGCATCAGAATGTTCGTGTCACATTGGCTACGGTATGTTTCAGTTCACACAGTTCAGCTCCCTGTTAAGTCTGCAGTAGCAGTCTAATGCAAGCGAGATCAAGTGATGGACTTGCATGTGTGACTCAGCCCTAAGACTCCATTCTACAGGCGTTATTAGCCACTCTCGTTGCATCCCAGTTGACACATTTGCTGATCGCCAGTTGTGCAGTTGTTCTCCGTTCAATTTCCGTGCTCCTTAACAAAAAACGGCTCCGAGTTTCAGTGTCCCTGTACGACCCCTTTGATACTTTCAAACGCTTTCCCATTCCGCCCACCCTGCCTTCTTCCTCTCTGTTAAATGTGGAAAAACTGGTCCATAGCCAACTGACTTTGTGTTGGTTGCCAGCGTTGAGGTCGGCAGTATGCTTTTGAAGAAGCTGGAAAATTAGATCAAATGGTCTTGTCAGGAGCCAGGGGGCAAGGACATTTCTTTTTTTGACCCTTGTTAATTGCAATCTTGAAAATGCACTGTGCAAGTACTGAGGGAGGAACAGAGGCACAAAATAGCAACAGGGTTTCAAGATCGTAAATTGCAGTCGGCGTAATAAAACAATAAAACGTTTCCCTTTTTTACAATGAAACTGTTGCTATTTACAAAGCACTGGAGGGTTGCCAGCATAATCCATTATGGGTATCCAGAAAGCACATGCAGGGAAATGTCAACAAGTAATTTTTTTAAGTGAGCAAATCCAAGTGATTATTTGTTGGAATGGGTATTAAGTAAACAACAAAAATAGGAAAAATAAATACGTTCTGATGTGTATACTTCGATTATTTGCCTGTGGATCTGGTGCATTTTATTTGAAATTTTGTACAGCTCCAGCAATTTTCTGCACGCTAGCATTATGCACTTCAGGAAAAAAGAAATGTCTAAGCTGTTGATTTATTTGAAAACATTTGGGTCTCTCCAAAGTAGATGAGCAGTTCAGGCTACGCGGTTTATAAAAGTGGAATGTTAAAAAGAGAATGTAAACCTATTTTGATCAGTGGCTTAATTCAGACATCATGTTCTGATCCTCGAAACCAGCGTCTTGTACATGATGTCTCCCAAAAGATTGCGTGCTTTCTCTTACATGCAAAATAGTAAGTGAAATCCCCTTAGTTCTGATTGTGTGCGTAGTGTAAAATCTAGTTGCCACATGAAGAATTTGAAGGCACAGCGATAACTGTGAAAATCTCCATTTTTAAAAGTAGAAAACAAGTTCCTTAGGACACGTTATAGTGGCGGGGGGGGGAAATCATGGAAAACAGTTGGGCCATTGCAGGGCCACATTTGCCACACACAATGCCTGCAAGAAATGTGCCACCTTTTATCTGAGTGTGCTCCAAGCAAGTAGTGGTTCTGATGAGAACTGTGGAAACAGTAGCTTGGATCCTAAAGTCCTGTGCATGCTAGATAGCCTCTGCCGTGAAGAGTGCTTCCTCTTGTGCACAAAATCTGTGGTTTTCTGTGAGCCTTGTGCAAGCACAAGTGCCAGTGCGCAAAGAAGTGCACTCCCCAGCAGAGGCTGTCTTATACACACGGAACTTGCTCATAGGATCCAGGCCAGCCGTCCTAATCCATAGAGTCCTGTGGGCAGAAGTGGACTGGGGCCACATAGCTTGCGTGCAGTCAGCCAAAGGGCTGATGCAGCAATGGAATTCCATCACGAATTGTGATCTTTTTGGTTTAGGGAAACTACCACTCGTGTTTCTGTCTGGCAAGCAATGCCGACTAAGTTTTCTAGGTTGTATGGATCGTCATTATTCTAATACATACTTTTTTTGGTCATGACTTTGACTGCCTTGCCTCTTTGCATCCACTTCAGCTTGCCACTGTTCTACGGAAGGCTCTCTTCACGGCACATGTGATCAGGAGACTGGACAGTGTGCCTGCCGCCCCAGAGTGACCGGACAGCGCTGTGATACTTGCATCCCAGGGGCTTATGGATTCCCACAGTGTGAAGGTAGCTCTGCCCGCCTGGCTCCTATTCTACACTTACAGCTTACAGCATCTCTGATGCTGGGTCTACCTTGGCGCTCAGGACACTGAGCGTCACTGCTGATTTGTTACAATGGTATTCATAGTGAATAGCACTAAAACAAATGCCCCAAATGTTACTGAATTTGAATGCAGAGCTCATCATTGGATGGTTTCCAAGCACCGCTAAACATGCAGAGCTCATCACCGGATCATTTCCAAGCCCTGCTAAACAATGTTTTTTTGTTTTGTTTTATTTATTTATTTTATTTCTTTATCAGATTTATAACTCGCCCTCCCAGCCGAGGCTGGCTCAGGGCCACTTACATAAAAAGATAAAGCGCATCAATAACAATGTAAACAATCCTAAAATCATCTAAAACAAACCAACATTATAAGCTGCTATACACATTGGGTGATACTGGTGGTAGTCATATTATTAAAACGATGGTGGCCATCAATCAGTAATACGCCCATATATCTTATCCTTATGTAGCTGGCACAGGCTGTTGTTAAGGGCTCCAGGGGACGGGGTTCTCTTTCAGCTATTGGTGGCGGCTCCTTAGTTGAAAGCCTGGTGAAAGAGCTCCGTCTTACAGGCCCTGCAGAGCTGCATAAGGTCCCGCAGGGCCCTGATCTCTCCTGGGAGCTTATTCCACCAGAACGGAGCCACTACTGAGAAAGCCCTGGCTACAGCCAGCCTGGCATCCTTAAGGCCAGGGAGGGCCAGTTGATTTTGTGACCCTGATCGCAGTGCTTTCTGGGGAACATGTGGAGAAAGGCAGTCCCTCAGGTATTTTATTTAATTTTATTTAATTTTCGACTTATATACCGCTCTGGCCCCGAAGGGTCTCTGAGCGGTTTACACAACTGTTTATACCTAACTAGGGCCACATTATTTGTATGGGCGGTGATAACCTACCAGCACCCCGGCCGCGGGCTCAGTTGTTATTCAGTTCCTGGCTCGGCTGTTGTTCAGTCCCTGGCCGCTCTTCGGCGCTTCACTTCCTGGAGCCCGGAACAGGTCTTAATCCGCGGCTCCTTCTGGTATGTAGGCCCCTGACCATGAAGGGCTTTAAAGGTGAGCACCAGCACCTTGAAGTGAATTCAGTATGCTATCGGGAGCCAGTGCAATGCTTTCAGCATAGGTTGAATGTGCTCCCGTTTTTGGAGGCCTGTTAGAAGCCTGGCTGCAGCGTTTTGCACTAGCTGTAGCTTCCGGATTTGTGATAAGGGCAGCCCCATGTAGAGAGCATTACAGTAGTCCAATCTCGAGGTGACCATTGCATGGATCACTGTTGCCAAGTCGTTGCATTCGAGGAAGGGAACCAACTGCCTGATCAGACGAAGATGAAAAAAGGCTGACTTGGCAGTGGCTGCTACCTGGACCTCCATTGTTAAGGAGGCATCCAGGAGCACTCCCAAGCTCCTAACCTCCGGCGCTGGCACCAATGGTGTCCCATCGAAGGTTGGGAGTGAGATCCCTAACCTTGGCCCGCCTCAGCTCAGGCACAGGACCTCTGTCTTTGTCGGATTCAATTTTTTAGTCGTTGAACTCTGATGTGGAGGAGCAGAGGTCAGGAAGTAGCAGATGGGTACACAGTTGGAGTCAGAAGTCCAAATCTCGACATGAATGTATTTTCTGTGCACTCAGACTCATTATGCCTCCCACCACCCACACAAACTTCAGTTTTCTCAACTCTGAAGTTAAGCGCATTAGGTTCCTATGTCAGTAGCTATCTTCGCTCATTAGCCACCCCATCATATTTATGAATATAGTTCCAGGTGGGTGGCCGTGTTAGTCTGCAGTAGCAGGTAGTAGAATAAAGCCCGAGTCCAAGTAGCACCTTCAAGGCCAACGAGACCATTCTCTGATGAAGCCGATTACATTTTGCATTGTGCCTCTGCATCCTGACTCTCTTCTTTGTAACACCCCCTCCGAACTTCTGACCTGGATATAAGGGCTGATGGTGTTTCCTTCTCCTTTGTATCTCAGGAAGAGATAGGGTTGCCAAACCTCCTGGTTTGCCAGGGGTCCCCCGTTTTTTTTTTGGGGGGGGGTTACCCGCCGCCGGACAGATGGCCGGCGGGGGAAGCCCCACCCCCAACACCCACAACCACCCCTCTCTCTCCCTTTAAGTGTGTGGAACCCGTGTTTCCTCCCAGGCCTGTGTTTCCTCCCAAGCCCGATCTCCGCTTGAGATCAGGCTCGCAGGGAAATGCCAGCTTCGTGCATTTAAAAGGGAAACGCAGCTGCTCTTAAAGGGGAAACGCCGGCTCCTGCTCTTAAAGGGGAAACGCCGGCACCTTTAAGTGCAGGGAACTGCCGTTTCTGGAGATCCGGTGCACGGGCAAGTGGGGGGGCGGCGGCGGACGTCCCCAACGTGACATCATCATGTTGGGGATGCCCCACCCCCTCCAGGAACGCCCCCAAAGTCCCCCGCTGGGGGTGGAAGATGGACTTGGCAACCCTAGGAAGAGAGTTTTGACTCCCAAACACTGTTACCTTGGATAATTTTGTCAGCCTTTAAGTTGCCCCTGGAATTGAAATTGTGGCCCATTGGTTAGCACATCATCCCAGGAACTGCACATGGTAGATGCAGTCCCCCTCCTAAAAAAAAAAAATCTGGTCTTATTTATGTTTTTTTCCCTGTCACAGTGGGCACTTGTAATCCTGCGGGGCTTGAAGATGCAGATCCTTCCTCGCCAATGGTGAGTATATCCCAAGCTTGTAGATACTGTAGGACACATTGAATATTTGTGAAGCGTGAAAATGGGCAGTTCCACATTATCACATGAGCCTGCATGACCACTTGTTCCGTTCAATATCCACTTCCAAATTTCTTTGCTCCTTCCTCCTCCACAGAGGATATGTCTATCAGTGGCTACTAGCCATGGTGACATAAAAGAAGCTCCACATTCAGAGACAGTAAACCTCTGAATATCAGGCACATGAGGCAACATGAGGGGAAGCTCTGTTCCCTGTTCATTGGCCCTCCAGAGTTACTGGTTGGCCCCTGTGTGAGACAGGATGCTGGGCCATTGGTTTGACCCAGCAGGGCTCTTCTTATGTTCTTTTGAAAGCCTTGGCCTCTATGACCGGTTGTTGGCCCTCCAGAGTTACTGTTTGGCTCCTGTGTGAGACAGGATGCTGGACTAGATAGACCACTGGTCTGATCCAGCAGAGCTCTTCTTACATTCTTGTGAAGGCCTCGCACTCTATGACATGTTGTCGGACCTCCTGGGGAACTGGTTGCCCACTGTGTGAGACAGGATGCTGGACTAGATGGACCACTGGTCTGATCCAGCAGAGCTCTTCTTACATTCTTGTGAAGGCCTCGCACTCTATGACATGTTGTCGGACCTCCTGGGGAACTGGTTGCCCACTGTGTGAGACAGGATGCTGGACTAGATGGACCACTGGTCTGATCCAGCAGAGCTCTTCTTACATTCTTGTGAAGGCCTCGCACTCTATGACATGTTGTCGGACCTCCTGGGGAACTGGTTGCCCACTGTGTGAGACAGGATGCTGGACTAGATGGACCACAGATCTGATCCAGCAGGGCTCTTCTGATGTTCTTAGGAAGGCCTCGGCCTCTGTGCCCTGCTTTTGGCTCTCCAGGGGAACTGGTTGGCCAATGTGTGAGACAAGATGTTGGGCTAGATGGACTAGTGCTGTGATCCCACTGGGCTCTTCTTATGCTCTTCTCCCTCATTTTTCCTTTTCAGGGGTCCTGCAAATGCCGGGCATATGTGGAAGGCTCATCTTGTGATAGGTGCAAGCCACTCTACTGGAATCTGACTCCAGATAACCCATTTGGATGCATGAGTAAGTAACCATCAGTTTCTTCTTGAAAACCTTAAGGCCTGAACTGGTTTATCCCAACCATTGTCACAATGTTTAAAGTTCAATGTGGTTCATGTTTCTTCTCCTCAAACATCAGAATAGGAGAGTATGAACAGCTACAAGGAAGATATTTGGGCAGGGGCCACTGGTCAACAGAATAGCTCCGAAATCCAAGACTGTGTCGGTTTGACAGTTTGGCAATGGGGCATTACTAAATTCCCCTTCCCGGTCCCTGGAATGTCTAGTTAAGGGATGTCAAGCAGCCAGGCTGGGGGAAATCTTCTGTCACCAGCTGTGGTGAGCCATGGATTGCACCAAGTTAGAAGGGCTGTTGGTTTTTGTGAGTTTGTGGCAACTCCTTGTGTCTTAAAGATTCTGCAGTAACGAAAAGCTCCCTCAGAATAGCTCAGCTGTTCACAGATCACGGAAGGAGTTAACAGCAAAGGAGCCGTCTTGAGGCTTTCATGTTGGTTTGCTTGCAGCCCTGGCATGGAGGTCTGTCACAAAATCTTTACATGGCAAAATGTATACCCCGACTTTCTGTCGTCATAAGGACCACCGAGGGGGCTAAACATTATAACATACCCTGATAAAGTGACATCTTAAAAACCATTTAAACCAACAAGAAGCATAGCATTAAAAGAATTAAAACCAGGGCTAAACCACACATACAAACACATAAAAATAACAATTGGGCAGAAAAGTGACTGAGGGAATGCCAAACAAAACAAAAGAGTCTTCATTCACTGGCAGCAGCAATTCCCCCTGGGTAGAGAGTTCCAGGGTCTTGGTGCCACAACTGAGAAGGCTCTCCCCTGGGTTGCCACCCACCTAATCTCAGAACTTTGGGAGCACCTGAAGCGGGGCCTCTGCAGATGACCATAGTGATTGGGTGGGTTCATAAAAGAGGGCCCAGTCCTTTGGGTATGTTGATTCCATCCCACATAGGACTTTAAATGTCAACACCAGTGCCTTGATGGACTGAAGACCCCGAAAGAAGGACTAACTTTCTGTTCCCCTCAGGCTGCCAGTGCAACACAGCGGGAACAATTGCAGGCGTCGCAGAGTGCCAGCAAGTAAGTTTCCTTCCATGTGCCAAAATCCATTGCCACGTCCTGTGGGCAGAAGCTTTTACCGAAGTGTGCCAGTTGCCCTTCAGCTGGAGCACAGAATTCCGAATCTGGTGTAACCATTGCCTTGCAGAGTGGTATTTTTGTTTCTTCTAGAATCTTTGAAAGGTACTGTGTGCCAGATGACGGGCAACATTTGCGGGATATTTTACTTCCATAGTGCTGTCCTAAGCAGAGTTAAGTCCATTGAAATCAGTCAGCTCAGAAACATGTAACTGTGCTTAGGCTCAGGTGGGTAGCCGTGTTGGCCTGAACGAATAGAACAAAGTCTGAGTCCAGTGGCACCTTTAAGCCCAACAAAGTTTAATTCTGCGTATAAGCTTTTGTGTGCATGCACACTTCTTCAGATGTCTAGGCTGTCACTGTGCAATGGTATTGTTATTCTTGGAGCTGTGGTGGCTCAAGTGGTTAAGACGCTGAACTGCAGGCTGTGGAAGGTCAGTAGTTCAGCGGTTCAAGACCCAGGTGCTGCAAGACAGGGTGAGCTCCTGTCTCTAGTTCCAGCTCCTGCCAACCTAGCAGTTCGAAAGCAAGAAATTGCAAGTTACCTTTACCTTTTATTGTTATTCTAGAACAATAATGATAACTTGAGTACAGTAAACGAACAAGCACTGTATAAATAACGCAGACCATGGAGTGCACAAAGGTCAGGCAAAGGAAAATTATATTGTAACAAAAGCAAAACTAATTGTTATTGTTATTAGTTTTGCTTTTGTTACAATATAATTTTCCTTTGCCTGACCTTTGTGCACTCCATGGTCTGCGTTATTTATACAGTGCTTGTTTGTTAATTGTTATTCTAGAGACATTTAACTAACCAGAAAAAACAAGGCATGACTTTGTTTCTCTGTTGGTGTCCAGATCTTTACTGTGCAGTACCCGTCATGTTTTCCATCGTCAGTAGCCCCGACCTGGATAGTGCAGGCTAGCCCAGCCTCGTCAGATCTCAGAAGCTAAGCAGGGTCGGTGGCTCTGGTTAGTATTTGGATGGGAGACCACCAAGGAATATCAGGGTCGCTGTGCAGAGGCAGGCTGTGGAAAACCAGCTCTGAACATCTCCTGCCTTGAAAACCTTACGGGGTTACCATAATTTGTTTGTGACTTGATGCTCCCCCCCCCAAAAAAAAAGAAAAAAAAGAAAAAAAGGCAAGGGCTAGAGCCAAAGTTTTTATTACCCTTTTTGCTTTTTGAAATTGTAAAATAGAGCAGTTATTGTGACGGTGTGTGTCCCGTGTCCCCTTTCAGAGTTTTTGCCCTCCTTGTCTTTTCTGTTCGTACACATAAGACTGGGATCTCTGAAATTGTGAAGCTCTTGCTGGTTGCTTACGATGTGCAATTGGTCTCTCGTAGGGTGATGGGCACTGTTTCTGCAAGCCCAACACTTGTGGCCAGTTCTGCTCAGCGTGCAAAGAAGGATACTACAATCTGGCGAGTGGGAATTACTTTGGCTGTCAAGGTGCGTCCTTTTTACTCTATGACAGCATACTTGGGTAGCTATTGAATGGCAGTATAAGCCATAAGAGCTATCTCTTTGAGCTGTGGGGCTGATGGCCAGCTGATTGGAATGGAGAGCATTCAGTTGCAACAGTTTGAGGACTTTGCGATTTCAGCTTGATGAGGATAAAACACGAGGAAGGAAAACGGTGGCCATGGAGTCAAGGTTCCATATGTGGACTGTCTGCCTCTTTTAAAAATCCTAGGTTTGAATCCTATGAATGAATTCCATGCACACTAGACAGGCTATGCCAAGGATGCTTCCTCTTCTGCTAAAACTTTCTCTGCACAAGATCTGTGGCTTTCAGTGGAAAAGGAAGCACACTCTGCAGCAGAGGCTATCTAGCTCACACAAAACATTCCTGCCTGTGCAGGAAAGGCGGGATATAAATCGAAAATAATAAAAAATAAATAAATACAAAATTATTTCATAAGATCCAGTCCTCAACAATGTGGTTATGATTCTACATTCTTCTCCTCCTGCGGTTCTTAAGCTTTTGTGTATTGCAGGACATACAGCGCTATCTGTTTTTTATGTGATACCTAGTTTCTTTGCATTTTTATGGTGAGTTTCAAATGTTTTTCCCTCCTTCCAGATGTTGCCAACTTTGCACACAATTACTGGAACCCCCTGTTTTTATGTCATACTTAATGTTTGCTAAGGTAGTCTTTGAAACAGGAAGTGCAGAATCTGGGCTGCGGTCACACGGGCAGGAAAATGCAGGGGGGAAGCGTGGCTGTTTGCCCCGGGGCAAAATAACGCGCGGTTGCGCTAGCAGACATCCCATGGAGGTCCCGTGGTAGGGGGGAGGTGCCGATCACACCACAATCCTGCAGTGCGGCAAAGAAGCGCCGCGCCGCGGCAAACGGGTGGTTTTTTTTCTGTACACTGACGTGTGTGCATGCCCCGTTGGGTGCTTGTGCGCATCCCAAGGACAATTGAGGGGAAAAAACCCCCCCTTTTTTGCGAGGGGACATGGGCGGGTGCCGGATGCCATGGGATTCCACTGGAAACACGATCACGCGCCCGCCCTTGCTCCGCGGTTTCCAGAAACATGTACCTCCGAGGTACTAGTTTTTTACCACGCATCTTCGGAGTGAAGCCTCGGGTGAGCCACGGGAGCTCTACGCTTCCCAGATGTGGCGGTGAGATCGCGCTTGGAAAATCTGCCTATCTTCCGTCTCTCTAGCGTGCCTAATGCTCCGTGTGACTGCAGCCCTGGAATAGATTCTCTTTAAGGGATTTTAGTGGGTTTGGTGCAATGCCAGATCAAGGAAGCGGAAAACAAGTGTCTGTGTCAGCTGATGGACAGGAGGAGATGCCAACAATCAGGTTCAACAACGATGTCAAAAAAAGATTGGAAGGTAGAACGTGTTACCCAAATTGCTATACATGTGAAGGTTCCATAACAAGCAAAGGTGCCCCCTAGCTATCATGGAGCAAACACGTGTATTTCTAGGTGTTAAATATATAGTTGAGACTGTAACCGTATGTATACTGAGGTTGAGATTCAGACCAACGCTCGAAGAAACAAGGGAGAACACGTTATCTGAAACAGAAGAGGTTTTATTTAATTAATAGAATAGACACGAAAGTATGTTTGCAGAGTAACATGAAGATCTACAGAAGGGAGAAATGCTTCAGTAAAAACAATCCAGAACTAAACTGGAAGTGGGGGGGGGGGGAAGCAAGACATAGGTGCCTTGGGAGAGAAGGGAGAGGATTCCTGGGCAGCCATAAAAGCAGCATCTGGAGCTGAAATTGATCAGGTTGGGGGGTGGGGGGAGAAGCTCGGCACAAGTAAGTCCAGAGGCAGAGGCAGAGAGGCCAGCCTTGAAGTTGAGATAACTGGCTACAAAACCTGGGGCAACTCTTACTACTCTTTTTGCCAAGAGTGAGTAGGGGAAGGAGTGTTGGCAGTGCAATGTAACATGGATGAAAATTCAATCTTCCTGGAGATGGGCAAGTTTGAACAGAGGGTCTTGTGTCTGTGCTGTGGTGGGGAGTTTTAAAAGTATCCAAAAATGTTGTCTTGGAGAGATCTGGAAGTTAGGTAAGCGTATATGGCTGGGCAGTTGACATGATCAAGGAAGGGCAAAACCCTTCCTGTCCAATCATTAAGATATGAGGGAAATTGCTGGAATCAACCTGTTGTGTATTATTTTGGCGATCTGGGTCGTTTGTTAAGATCAAATTACTAGGGAGGAGGCTCCAAGGAAACAACCTCAGATTGACTCCCGCTTTGCAGGAATGATGGAGGAGCTTCCCTTCTTCCTTACGCCCTTAGTGTGATTCATTGCCATTCAATATTAGTTTCATACTGACTCCACCTATCATTTCTAGGCCCAAGCTAAGATGTACACGTGTACAAGTGGGGATTCAATGTTACAAAAATTAGGGTCCCCCCGGGGTGAGGGTCCCGGGGGCATCAAGTGGAAGTGAAAGACAGGATGGATAGGAGCTGCAACTACTGTTAAAGGACACTGTATTAAATTTTGGCAGAAATTAACTCCTTATCTGAAAAACAGTCATAGGACTGAGTATGCAGCAATGGTGAAATTCATAATTCAGCTGGAAAACAGAGTAGTTACAAAATTTGAAATGTTGAACATTTTACATTGAACAGAAGTAAGTTTTATTGTATTTTATAGACAGTGTCCCCAAAACCTTTCAATGTAATGAAGAGGGTACTGGGGAGAAATATTTCCTATTTCTTATACTTTGTGTGTGTGTGTGTGTGTGTGTGTGTATATCTGTGTGTGTGTGTGTGTATACACACATACTTTTGACATATATAATTTTGGTATGTAATCATTTTTTTCTTTTCTGTATTTCCTTTTTATTATCTCTTTGTTTTCCAAAATTAAGATAAAAAATATGGGCAGAGAGTTCAGTTTGGGACAGGATGGTTTATTAGGCTCCGATCGTACCAGCTGGTCAGAATGCATAATAGAACAAAGCATGGAAAAAGCATACATGTTTGTGGGGTGATTTTGGGGTGGGGCCTGGGGGGGGGGGGGGCGTCTGCAGATACTGGTTGACGGCTTTATTTAGGAGCCCACTGGGAGACAAACAGACATAGCCCTAGAACAGTTCAGACCTAGGAGGCAATGGAAACAAATCCAAGCAGAACCAGAAGCCAACATGAAAGTAGATACAAGCCTCTGCCACTCCCTGCCAGTACCAGGCTTTGATGAGTGCTATTTGAGGCCGCTGAGCGGCTATGGAATGTAAACATGTGCTTCCTATCCACAGAATGCCGGTGCAACATTGGTGGATCTGTTGGGCCAGTGTGCGAAGAGAGGACGGGAGCTTGCCCCTGCCGACTGAACACTCAGGGCCCCGCATGCAACCAGTAAGGCAGGCTGTGATATGCGCAGAGAACGACCCAAGTCCAGCCCAGCTCTGATTTTCCCTGGGTGGGGAGTGGGCTGGAGAACGTGAATGGGACATTTGTTCTTCTTTGGGAAACGTCCCTGTTGACAAGGGGCTGGCAGAGAAGTGCTTGGATATTAATGGGCAGCAATGCTCCCCCTAAGCTGTGGAGTCTTGTGAGCAAAAATTCTACTTTTGAAGCTGCTGGCATGAAAGTTGTGAGTGAGCGATTTGGCTACTGCTTAAATTAGTTTGCTCTGGAGCCAGCCCTTCCTGAGCTAAGGCAAAAATGTGTGAGCCGGAGACTAAAAAACTGTGAGCTAGCTCACACTAACTCAGCTTAGAGGGAACACTGATGGACAGGGGTGCCCATCGCCATATGTGGATTTTTCATGTATTGGGGGGGGAGTGAGGGATGTGGTAGAGATTATGAGGGGGGGGAGGAGATTGGATTTATACCCCGCCCTTCACTACCCAAAGGTGTCTCAGAGCGGCTTCCAAACTCCTTTCCCTTCCCCTCCCCACAACAGACACCCTGTGAGGTAGGGGGGGCTGAGAGAGCTCTTGACAGAAACTGCCCTTTCAAGGATAGCTCTTGTCAGAACGATGGCTTGCCCAAGGTCATCCAGCCAGGTGCAAGTGGAGGAGTGGGGAATCAAACCCGGTTCTCCCAGATTAGAGTCCGCGCACTTAACCACGACACCAAACTGGCTCTGGAAGAGCATGGATGAACAGAAAGTGTTCTTCATCTCTTTCCAGTCTCCTCGCCCACCCCCTCATCCCCAGTTTCAAAATGCTGGGTGTTGAAGTCATCGAGTTAAGTTCAGAACAGACTTAAAATTTAATCTCTATGCAGCCAGTGGTGGAAGGTCTGTGTATGGAGGTCACTGAATTAAATATTAATTGTATGAGATTTGGTTGATCAGTTAATTAAATATGCATGGGTCGCCATGGGCAGCATCTCAGAAGAGCCGTCTTCTAAGGAGGTATCTGCCAGATTTGTCTTTGTTGGCATTAAGATGTTATTAAATTTTTTAAAACAATTTGCCGCCCAATTATTTGTTACTCAGTCAAAAGACGTTCCATCATGTGAATTAGATCCATTAATCACCTAAGCATGGTAACCTTAATCTCGTCACACTTATTTAATCGCTCCCCCGATCGCCAAACCTGTGATGGAAATATGCAGGTAGAAACCAGCCAATGGCTAAGGTCACCAGAAGGAAGGAATAGGTTGAGCTTTCACCCATTGATAATAAAGCGGCTGACTTCTGGCGACCCCATCGTAGGGTTTCCGAGGCAAGAGGTGGGCAGAGGAGGATTGCCGTTGCAATTGAGAGCCAGCTTGGTGTAGTAGTGAAGAGTGGCGGACTCTAATCTGGAGAACCGGGTTTGATTCCTCACTCCTCCACATGAAGCCAGCAGGGCGACTTTGGGTCAGTCACAAATTCTCTCAGAACTCTCTGAGCCCACCTACCTCACAGGGCGTCTGTTGTGGGGAGAGGAAGGGAAGGGGATTGTAAGCTTCTCCGAGACTCCTTTGGGTAGTGATGGTCAGAGTACAAAACCAATTCTTCTTCCCTTTTTCATTACTTGCCTCCGAGTCACTACCTTTTGAATGTGGAAGTTCCCTTGGCCCATTTCACCTAAAAACTACACAAATTCAGAATACAGACTGCAGAAGAAGCAAAGTTACAAGATATTTGTGTAATTATTCAGAGCACAGAATATTGCTTTGCTGAGCATATCTTGTTATGTTCCAGAAGGATTAATAACACCTCCCCCCGAAAAAAACCCTTTGCAGATCCTAAATGTGAGTCAGCAGAGACTTTTGTTCCTCACAATGCAGATGGAAACTAAGCGGTTTTAATTGTGTGCGTTGCTTTTTTTTTGTATTATCCCCAGACCAGCTAGGGACCATTATATCCCTGATCTTCACCACCTGAAATATGAACTGGAAGAAGGAACTGCAGTGGATGGGAGGCCTGTTCGCTTTGGATACAATCCTCTAGAATTCGAGAATTTCAGCTGGAGGGGATACGCCCAAATGTCTTCCATCCAGGTAGGCCTTGGCCCTCCATCCCATATGATGGGAAGGACACTACAGGCAACTTCGCACATTACAGATTTCCTGCAAACAAAGCACTTCTATAAGGGAAGAAAGTAGAAAAGCCATATATAGATCATCTCGTGTCATGGATCGCACATGTGACAATGCTCCCTCTAAGTTGCGGAGTCTTGTGAGCAAAAATCCTACTTTTTGAGCTACCGGCAATAAAGCTTTGAGCGAGCGATTTGGCTGCTGCATAAATTAGTTTGTTCTGGAGCCATCTTTCCTGAGCTAAGACAAAAATGTGTGAGCTGGAGGCTAAAGAACTTTGAGCTAGCTCACACTAGCTCAGCTTAGAGGGAACACTGGTGACTCCTCTGCTCCATGGCATGTATGCCGAAGTTGGCTCGTGCCCATGCAACAAACCGGTGCATGTGAAGTAGACACAAGTGATGATCTACATACGGTTTTCAAAGTTTTTCTCTTTATGGAAATGCTTTCTTCTCCCTCCGGTTGGAAATGTCTAAAATTTGAAGTGGCCTTGAATGTTTGAGGGGTCCATGTTTTACCCGCAGGGTCTCTCAAGAGGCCGGTGCAAAATGGTTGATCTCTGTTTATGTATCTAGTGAGAGTCTGTTTGTGCTGACATTAGATTTAAGAAGAGAAGAAGTGGATGTTAGGGAAAGTCCCAGGTCAAGAACACTTCGCTGGGTCAGTGAGTTTTTTGGGAGACATTGGCTAGCCAGGAATCATAAACAGAAACACACACAGGTCTCCTAAGGGGCTAGCGTCACCCGCTTTTTCTTCTCCCCCATTGCAACTCTGTGCATAACGTTCCCTGCTTCTGAAAAGGAAGGAACATTCTCTTAACTCTTTCTTGTTGAGCATGTGGCTTTGGTTGCTTTTTCTGCTTGAAGAAGGGTAGCCGGTTTCTTGCCCGACTTGGTACAGGAGAGTCTCCCGGGGCTGAGCCCATAGCATCTACTGAGCTTGCTGTCTGGAGAACTGTTCTCCTCTCTGAAGCCTGAAGTTTAGCACAAATAAGGCATCTGTGTGTATCTGCGTCTGTCGTTCATTTAGAATTCTGCTGTATAGCTTTGTACAGCAGGAGAAACCTTTGAAAATATTCTTTGCTTTGTTTCTTTGTCCCCTTAAAATAGTTCCTGGGGGCCTCCTCTCCTTGGTTCTCTTTAGGTTTTGTAGGGAGATGCTTTCCTGCTTTAATAACTTAATTGCCAAGGGTGCTTGTTCCACAATTCATTTGCTGATTTAAAAATATGAGATTCAGAAGGTAGTTTTTATGTTGTAGAATGTTCTAGAACATCTGCAGGCCTCTTGTCCAGCTTTGTTGTAAATGTAGCTTGAGTTGAAGCTCCCCAGCTAATCTGCCTATTCTGTTTGTGTACAGTTAACCTAACTTGCATGGGTTTTTGAACTCCTGGGCATTGAAACTGACAACTTCCCAGTCTTTCTGTCTGCATTTTGTAGTCACTGAAGGGAACTGAGATGCCCCATGCCTTCAGGGTTGGATCTAAAGGTACTCCCCCCCACACAGAATGGCATGGCACTTTTACTGTAGGAAGAAAGGAAGGTGATTTTTGCCAATTTTCCCCATTGCAATGAAGGCATCCACTTTGCCCCCTGTGATGTTCCTAGGGTACACTTGTCCCCAGGGAACTGAAATCCATCAGTGGCTATTAGCCACAAGGTATAGAAGTCCGCATGATCAAAGCAATGGTATTCCCAGTAGTCATGTATGGCTGCGAGAGTTGGACTATAAGGAAGGCCGAGCGCCGAAGAATAGATTCTTTTGAACGATGGTGCTGGAGAAGACTCTTGAGAGTCCCTTGGACTGCAAGAAGATCAAATCAGTCAATCCTAAAAGAAATCAACCCTGACTGTTCCCTGGAAGGCCAGATAATGAAACTGAAGCTCAGATACTTTGGCCACCAAATGAGAAGGGAGCACTCCCTGGAGAAGACCCTGATGCTGGGAAAGATTGAAGGTCAAAGAAGACGTGGACGGCAAAGGATGAGATGGTTAGACAGTGTCATAGAGGCAACAAACATGAAGTTGAGCAAACTTCAGAGGATGGCAGAAGACAGGAAGGCCTGGCGTAATCTGGTCCATGGGGTCGCGAAGAGTCGGACTCGACTGTGCGACTGAACAACAACAAATAGATAGGAACTCTCGGTCTGGGGCAAGTGATGCATTTTATTCTTGGTGCTTGGGGTGGGGGGCAACAGTGGGAGGGCTTCTGGTGTCCTGGCCCCACTGGTGGACCTCCTGATGGCACCTGGTATTTTTGGCCACTGTGTCACAGAGTGTTGGACTGGATGGGCCATTGACCTGATCCAACATTGGCTTCTCTTAGGTTCTTAAGTTCAGGGGGCTCTCTGAGCTGCAAGAGGAGCGGAGAACTGGAGAAGTCCCAGTCTATCAACTTCTCTTCACCGGTGCTGTTTTTTGGATCCTTTTAAGATCAAGAAGCGAACATGACCATTTTCAGATCTAAGGGGAAAATAACATTTGGGTTCTTAACGCCCGCCTGAGTTTTTTTTAATCCATAAACACATTTGAAAGTGTTGTTGAGGCTTTCATATTACTGAGAGTCCTGCTGCCTTTCAAGTATACACTCGAGAACACCAAAGAGGTTCCCACAGATGGACGACTCTGTGCTCCAGAGTGGAGGGACAGGAGCAGACTGGGAAGTGAAAATGGCCCCGGAGCAAGCCAAGCTGAGTGGCCCCCATGGCGCTACAAACCAGCACTGCAGGGGTCATTCAGCTCAGCCGTGCAAGAAATATTAGCACACCCACTGTCAGCAGTGTGGGAAAAGTCAGCAGGTCAACTGACATCAGTTACCCTTGCTGATGAAGGGTCTGAAGGCTCCGGCAGAGTCTCTAGAGCTTAGTCATGCTCAATTCTGGCCACCGGGGATCATCCTCTAAGGCAGCAGCCCACTGGGACATTTCCCTGTAAGTTAAATGGCCAGTCCGCCCCTGAGGGAGGATTAGGTTCAAGAGCGCCCTTGAACTGAAGTTCTTCAGAGTGTCTCGGAATCACTTATCCACATTGTTGTTTTAGGACAACAATACAGTGTCCCAGGTTGCTCCTGTGTCTAAGATCAAAGATACAACTACAGCACTAGAGAATCATGGCTCATGATATCCAGAGAACAAGAGAAAAATTGTAAACAATTATAACAATAGAATCCAAAAATGTATACAGAAATACAAGTGGAAGAGTTTTTTTTGCGGTCCAAAACATAAAGTTTGAGTTGATGAAATTTTCCGGACTATCAAGTCGTTTCGAAGGTCTTCATCTGAACTGGACCAGTCAAGCTTCCTTCCACTTAGATGGCCCGTCTTCAATTGTAACCTTAACTCCACACAGAAACTGTTGATTGCTTGCAGAATTATGCTATGCAGAATTGTGCTGCGTAAAAATATTGAAGTACTGTATATGTTGCTGTTCTTATTCAGCAATGGATGGAAACTAGGAGACAACTGATATACATGGTCCAGTTCAGATGAAGACCTTCGAAACGACTTGATAGTCCGGAAAATTTTGTGAACTCAGACTTTGTGTTTTGGACCTCTCCTTCACTTGTATTTTTGTATACATTTTTGTATTCTGTTGTTATAATTGTTTACAATATAGTATTGTTTTTGCATTATTTAGCGCATGTGTACGGCTAAGATCAAAGACAGACATGCGCTTAAAAGAAAGACGTGGATATGTGCTGGAGCCATTCCTGTAGTCTTCTCATGCCCATGTCATCCTCACAAGTAGATTCATGCATGTGCAGATTCCTCCTATTTGGCTGAATCCCGGGAATGATTGGCGGAGGCACTCCCATTTGTTTATTCATTTACGTTATTTGTAGTCTGTCTTTCTCACTTGGACTCACAGCAGATTATGCAGGATGAGTCAGTGTCCCAGGATGGGACATTTCAGTAAAAAATGTAATAGGATTAAGGTTGTAGAACCAACTAGTAGTCTAAAAATGGGGGGGGCAATGCTCCCTCTAAGCCGTGGAGCAAAAATTCTACTTTGTGAGCTACCGGCATTAAAAGTTGTGAGCGAGCAATTTGGCTACTGCATAAATTAGTTTGCTCTGGAGCCATCCCTTCCTGAGCAAAGGCAAAAATGTGTGAGCCGGAGGCTAAAAAACCGTGAGCTAGCTCACACTAACTCAGCTCAGAGGGAACACTGGTGGGAGGAGGGGAAGCAAGGCATAAGTATTGCCATGAGATATTAAACGAGGCAAAATTACGCAGTAGGATCCGACTCACAGCAATCCGTACACAGTAGTATAGTCCGCAGTCCTCAGTGATTTATCCAAGTAACTCTGTGAAGCCTTTGGACTGCGTAGAAAAGCCCTCTTGAACAATTCAGTTTTGCACAGTCTGCATCAGAGCGGGAGCCTTCCTGACCTCCTTGGGGGGCCACAGCGGAGAAGGCACACACACAGGCAGTTGCTGATTTTGCCCCGTTTGCATGTTGGCGCCTGCAGAAGGCCCTGCTCTCTTTGCTTTCAACTTGTCAGTTTGGATGCAGTCCTCGTAGGTGTCGGCCAAGGTCTCCGTCTCTTTCTCGGGGTGCCCCCTCCTTTTCCTCTCGGCTTCCCCTTTCAGTCTCTTTTGGCTTTTGGCTGTGGAGTGTGCATTTCTGGCAAGGCTGGATGGACGACTTGGGTGGAATGTGCCGTGGGCGTACCGGAGGCATCTTTCCTTACCCTTTGGCCATTCTGTTGCAACAGAATGGGGCTGTCTCGATCCTTTATCTGCTTTGGCATGCTCGTGGTGGGAACAGGAATCCGGGGAGCGCGGTGCTTTGCGCTGGTGGCAGGTGACGGTGGAGGTTATTTAAGGTGTGCTCTGCTTCTCTCCCCTTTCTCTCCCACCAGCCCAAGGTAGTGGTGACCCTCAGTGTGACCTCCCCTGACCTGTTCCGCCTCGTCTTCCGCCACGCCAACCGGGGGCCTGCAAATGTGGAAGGGAGGGTCTCAGTCCTTGAGGAAGGAAAGTTTAATGTTTGTGGCAACTGTAAGTGCATTTTTCACTTCTGGCTTCAACCCACCCAACCCCCCACCCCCTTCCAAAATCAAATCAATAAAACGAGCTGTCCCTTTTCATTTTCGGCAAAGCGGCGTTTCCTCCCACCCCCTTCTCAAAGCTCTGCCACCCACATTGTAGACTGTGGACCTCCTCAAGCAGTTCACCCCTAGGAACGTGGGCGATGGCCAAGGGGAGGGGCCTTAGAGAAGCAGACAGACAGGCAGACAGGAAGGTAGGGCGGGGGCGATAGGATTGGCACCTGCCCTGTCATGATATGTACCCAGAATGCTTTTTTTGCCTTTTGCAGAGCAAAGTCAAAGTCACAGTACACGTGCAAGAGGCAGAGCTGTATCTCTTCAATGTCATCCTGAGATACGTTAATTCAGGAAGTGCCACGGTGTATGGCAAAATCACGGCTTTTCAGCCACGGAGAAGAGGTAAGGAGTCCTCCCAGATTTCATTCCACCTCCCTACCATTTACCATTGAACAATTTGACTGCTGCTGTTCCCTGGAGATTCTCTGGTGTGCGTCTGCACTGTCATATTCTTCTTCCAGCAGCTTAAAACTCATTATTTATTCAGCAAGTTGCATTCTTAGGAGAGGAAGTTACATTTAAAAAGCAACAACAAAACACAATATATTTATGTTGAGTGTGGGTTTATGTCTGAAAGATGAGGAAGGTATAGTTTTAGTGTGTGTGTGTGTGTGTTTGTGTTTGTGTTTGTGAAGTGCCATCAAGTTGCTTCCAACCCATGGTGACACTATGAATTAATGTCCTCCAAAATGTCCTATTGTTAACACCCAATCTCAGGACTTGCAAACTGAGGTCTATGGTCAAAGGTTTTCACGGCCAGAATTCATTAGTTGTAGATTTTCCGGGTTGTATGGCCGTGGTCTTGGCATTGTAGGACCTCACGTTTCGCCAGTAGCTGTGATGGCATCCTCAGAGGTATAACGCAGAAAGATGGAGTACTCTCTGTGTCAAGGTGAGAAGAAAAATGGTAGGCAGGTAATCTCAGGAAAGTAGGGTAGGGCTGAGTCATTATTTTGTAGGAGTTCTCCAGGCTATGAAACATGCTAATGGAGGAGCTTTCCTGAGGAGGTTCTTTTGTATATGGATTGTTTCCTGAGGAGCTTTCCTGTTGAGGTTCTTTTGCATGTGGATTCAAGATACTGAAAGGCTGGACAACACATCCAATTACCATGTCAGATTACACAGGGAAGCCATTGAAATTCATAAACACAATTTCAACAGGAAAGAAGAGAGTTTAAAAATAAATAGGGCATGGTTTCCTGTCCTGAAAAACACAAAAGGCTCTACATCTGACAATAGCACTACAGATAAGATTAGAATCCACATGCAAAAGAACCTCCTCAGGAAACAGGAAACCTCCTCAGGAAACAATCCATATACAAAAGAACCTCCTCAGGAAAGCTCCTCCATTAGCATGTTCACAGCCTGGAGAACTCCTACAACATAATGACGCAGCCCTACCCCATCTTCCTGAGTAGATATAAATTACCTGCCTACCATTTTTCTTCTCACCTTGACACAGAGAATACTCCATCTTCCTGTGTTATACCTCTGAGGATGCCAGTCACAGCTACTCCTGCTGACTTCAGCTTTTCCTTGCAAGACTGTCTTTTGCACTGGTTCTTGTCTTCTCATGATGTGACTAAGTCTCAGTTCAGTCATTTTAGCTTCTAGGGAGAGTTCAGGCTTGATTTGGCCTAGAATAGTTTTAACACTGTGCTTTAATCTCAGGAAGAGTCAGAAAAGATTCCGCATACAGCTTGCATTTGTGGATGTTTGGCTGCTTTAGCCAAAGAGTCAGGCATTTTTTTGGCAGATCCATCAATGAAAAAAAGGTAGGCCAGTATTGTTTCTAGACCAGAGCAGTGCAACTCCTCCACATCCTCTGTTTTATTTGAAAATGTTGACTCATACTGATGTTGACTCATACTGATGGCCGAATTACAGCAAGCGCTTGTTGAATATAGGCCCGGGAACATCCTCTTTGGACGACAGGTGGTTGGGCTCAAAGGACGGAGCTCCCATTCATTAATGCAGCTCCCTCAAGTCTTGGCAGTATAATGAATGTCTTCGGGCTTACTGATTCCCAAGTTCCATTCACTTGGAAGGCAAGTTGATATACCCTTAGGAAAAATGGACTTTTCAGTGCCTGTCAGCTGGATATGCAGGCAAGCGGCCTAAAATGCAGTGTTTCTGCCCACCTTTACAAAGCTAAATTACAAATTTGTGGATCAAGAAAAGGGTACTGCTCTCTGTTAAGCTTCGTTACCTGGTCATGTGGAGATCATTCTTACTTGTCACAGCATCAGACCACAGTCACAGAACAGACCGCAAAAAGAAGACACTGTGAGGTAACTGCGCTAGAAAATATTTCAATAACAATCACAAAATTATACAAAAATGTGTACAAAAAATCATATAAATGCACAAGGCAGTTGAAAATGGTGTGATGATGGTCTCCAGAATGTTCTATCGTTTCGATACTATTCTTCTTCCAAAAGTGGATGAAAGCGGCGACTCTTGTATAATGCCTAGGAACATTCTTTCAGAGAATTTCTTGCAACTAAGTTATGATACATCGGTGAATATTAATGAAATTTTTGATACCTACTTGTTGAAATGACAGACCAAGAGTCGCTGCTTTCATCCACTTTCGGAAGAAGAATAGTATCGAAACGATAGAACATTCTGGAGACCATCATCACACCATTTTCAACTGCCTTGTGCATTTATATGATTTTTTGTACACATTTTTGTATAATTTTGTGATTGTTATTGAAATATTTTCTAGCGCAGTTACCTCACAGTTTCTTCTTTTTGCGGTTAGCATCAGACCAAACAAATGGTCCAAATTGGGCAGGGGCTGTCACTCAGTGGAAGAGCTTCTGCTTTGCATGTTCAATCCCCGGCATCTCTAGATAAAAGAATCTGGCAGTAGGTTATGTGAAAGCCCTCAGCCTGAAACCCTGAGCGGCCACTGCTGAGTAGACAAATACTTGATGGAACAATGATCTGATTCAGTACAAGGCAGCTCCATATTTCCATGTGGTTCTTTGCAAGTCCGAAGCTTTGGATTTGATATTTGTGCTGTGAAATCTTAGAAGGAACTCCACATGCTTCCCAAGGGGGCTTTCAGTGTTGTGTTTACAGTACAGGGCCAGGGCGCCCAAGTTTCCTGTGCTTCCTCGAGCATCACCGCATTGAAACTGAGAGTTGTATAGGCTCTGAAGGTGGAGAGAACTTGCGCATCTCCTGTTTGTGGAAGGTGAAGTACATTATTGCAAGGAAACGGTGGTCCCTGCCACACGGAGGGGAAAGGCTGAAGTGCGGCTTTTGAAAGCCGCAACAAAAGAAACACGCTGCGGCAGGATCACATTGATCCCCTGAGCTGCGGCGTATTCCCTCCCCGGCACGATCAGATGCTGGGGGAAGCAACGGAGGGGAACGGGAGACTGCCAAACTGCGCATGTCTGAGCATGCGCAGTTCAGGCAGGAGCTGGGGATGCGCCGTCAGAAAGACGGGCCGGCGATCCCACAGCCGGCCTTGATGCGGCCGGCCTGGAAGAACCACCTCGGTAGGTGGTTCATTTTAGATGCGTCTTTTCGGGGGAAGGGCCGGATCGGGGACGGGTGCGCAACGCTGCCCAGATGTTGCAGTGGGATCGCACCCGTTTGCTGCGGCCCCGATCCGTCCCTCTCCCGGCCCAAAACCATTCGTGTGACCGGGGCTGGTGGGAACTTCAGCTATAAGTACATCCAAAGTTGACCACACCAAGTGAGTCATGTATGTTGAGTGTTGTACTGAGTTGCTCTTAGTCATGAGAATCAGAAGTGGAGAAGATGTTGTGGTCCATGCAACATATCAGGCTTGGATCCCCCCATGTGCCATGGAAGAAGAAGAAGAGATTGGATTTATACCCCGCCCTTCACTGAGAGTCTCAGAGCGGCTTACAATCTCCTTTCCCTTCCACTCCCCCCAACAGTCACCCTGTGAGGTAGTTGGGGCTGAGAGAGCTCTGAGGGAAGTGCTCTTGAGAGAACAGTTCTGAGAGAACAGTGACCTGCCGAAGGTCACCCAGCAGCTGCATGTGGAGGAGTGGGGAATCAAACCCGGTTCTCCCAGATTAGAGTCTGCACTCTTATCCACTACACCAAACTGATTTTGGGCCAGTGACATTCTCTTAGCCTAACCTACCTCACACGGTTGTTGTGAGGATAGAATGGAGGAGAGGAAAATGCTGTAAGCCGCTTTGTGTCCTCCCTGGGGAGAAAGGCAGGGTATAAATGAATGGATTAAACCAACAAATAAATAAATAATCGTTTCCCATAACTTAGGCTATCATGGAATAACTCCCACATCTTAAAGCTGCCACTATGAACCACACGGAAAGACAAGATGTATAAATGGTTTTAATAAATCAATTAAAAATAGATGTAATTTGCTACTACCTTGGCTGCCTGATCTTCTCCCAGTGTGCTCTCAAGTTGTCCCATCGCCTTCCGTGCACAGTACGTGGTGTGCCACAACCTCAAATAGCAAAGGAGCGTAGGGTAGGACAGAAGCAAAAGAGAAAAAAAGGCAAGCCTTAAGCTGATGCTAAGACCCTCCCCCCATTCAATGTGTTTTTCTCAAGGGTAGTTCCAAGGATCCTGCTTTTTCAAGTTAGCCTAGAGGAAGATTTTGACTTAAAGCTTTTGGCTTAAGATCTTAACCTAAGGCGCCTCCCCCACTGCAATACAAGTTCCCCGTTTTCAGGAATCAAAAGCCGAGGGAACAGAATTTAGGTTGATACTGAACTAGAAGAGGAGGTTGTATGCAAAGAAATTATCTCAGGCAGAACCACAGTAGGGGTGAACGTTGCAAGGAAACCATCCCTTACTGTTTTACTGCGTTCCTTGCACTGGCTGTGCCCAAACTTGTTCAGTTGTAGATTGTCACATGGAGAGGTTGTTTAGCCGAACAGAAACAAAGGCTGCCCCTCAGTGAGTCTGAGTAACCAGCCGTACCCCCTAAAATGATTTCATCTGGAATCTTGAATACCAAAAGAATGAAGTGGGAATGTAAAGGCCTGGGCCCTGACTCCATCTGCAGTTGTAGTGCTCTCAGACAATTTTGATTACATATTTATACCTTGGCTTGTTTTTCCGTCATGGGGACCCAAAGCAGCATCCAGCATCATTCTCCTCTCCTCCATTTTCTTACAGCCCTGCTCTGCCCTGGATAGCCCAGGCTAGCCCGATCTTGTCAGATCCTGGAAGCTCAGTGAGGTTGGCTGTGGCTAGGAATTGGAAGGGTGACCTCCAAGGAATACCAGGGCCGTGACATGGAGGCAGGCAACGACAGACCACCTCTGAATGGTCTCTTGCCTAAAAAACAAGTCTAGCTCGCCACCTAGTGGTGCATAACGCTAAAGAGCTAGAGCTTCTGGATGCCAGACAATCTTAGGATTGTGAGATAGGTTAGGCTGTGGGAGTGTGACAGGCCCAAAGTCACGCAGCGAGCTTCCATGGTAGAGTGGTGATTTGAACCTGGGACTTCCAGATCCTGATCCAGTACAACCCACTGTGCTCTGTTGGCTAGACCAAATTAGATTTGGGAGAGATCTCAGTAGGGTTGCTAGCTCCAGACTGTGAAATTCTTGGAGATTTAGGAGGTGGAGCCTGGGGAGGGCAGGGCTTGTGGAGGGGAAAGACCCCCAGCAGGTTATAATGCCCTAGAGTCTGCCTTCCAATACTGCTATTTTCTCCAGATAAACTGTTCTGTTTTACCCAGAGACCAGTTCTAATTTCAGGAGATCTCCAGCTACCACCTGGAGGCTGGCAACCGCAGATCTCACGCCACTTCCTCCCTGATTTGAACAAAAACTTAGGATTTACAACAGATGTTAATTACTTTAATAAAACCTGAGATGCCTGCCAAAGTTTTTTAGGATGCAGAGCTGCTTGGCCATTGGAGATCTGATAGATACTCATGGATGAGTCGCTTAACGTGTATACTTGTGTGTATGCAAGAAAACAGTTTTAAACAATATGTTCATCTTTTAAAAAATCATCCTTTAAAAGTAGAGCTTCTGCCTGATATGCTGAAGAGCTGCAATCAGGGTTACCTGTAACCTCACTCCCTGACTTTTTGTTGTTGGCTCCATCCCTTGCACCAGCCATTTTTTGGTGGCACCCACCTCCCTGTGTCAAATTCCTAAAGGTGCCTGCAGGCTCAAAAAGTTTGAGGACCCCTGTTGCAAGGTCAGGAGTCCCAAACATTGTTGAGCCTGTGGGCACTGTGGGATTTCTGAGAATAGGTCATGAGCATCAGCTCAGAATCGCTGTCATGAAGGTGGGAGATGTGGCCAGTTACAAAACAGCAGCCATGCAGGCTGAGGCCAATCCCAGAACATTGGGAGGTTCTCTTGCAAGTCTCGTCCCATGAAATGGAAATCTGTTTGCAAAATGGCATTTGCTGCAGATGCGAATGGAGTGTGATACAGTATTGTGCAACCTGGGATCAACTCAGCTACTGTATAATCCTTATTCTTTTCGCTGTCAGGCCGCAACCGACTAACGGTGACCTTGTATGGTTTGCGAGGCAACAGACATTTGGAGGTGGTTTGCCAGTGCCTGCCTCTGTGTTGCCACCATGGACTTCCTTGGTGGTCTCCCATCCAAATACTAGCCAGGGCCGACTGTGCTTAGGTTCCAAGATCTGACAATACTGTGCTAGCATGGGCTGCCCTTTACTGAGGCTTTTTGGGATATAGAGTACTTCCAAAACTGTAGCATCCCTGATGTGTTCCACTGTAATCTTACATATGACTTTGCCACACAGTACTGCACATATCCGAATGTAGGTCTACATTTCTTGGTTTCGCGTAATTATGGTACACAATTGTAGGCTGTCTTAGCTAGAGATTTTCTTTTGTTATAATTTTAGTTTTAATCAGGGCTCTAGTCGGGGGGGGAGCTCTCAGGTACGGAGCTCCGGAAGAGAACCTCTAGGGGGCGGGGCGGTCACGTGGTGAAGCCCCGCCCCTTCTTTACCCCGCCCTCTGCTTCGATCCTCATTCCGTTTGGGAATGAGGATGAAGCAGGAGGGTAAGTAGCCGGGCCTTCTGACACACTTCCGGTGATGTCAGGGGGTGTGGCCTTCTGTCACTTCCGGTGATGTCAGGGGGCGTGGCATATGCAAATAAGTTATGCTAATGAGTTATGCTAATGAGCTCCGGCAGCTCTTTTTCTACAACAAGACCCCTGGTTTTAATTAAACTTTTTTTAATTTATTCATTTATTTATTCGATTTATATACCTCGCCCTCCCTGACAGAGCAGGCTCAGGGCGGCTATCCAGTCAAGTCTGGCTCTTTTCACGCAGTCATGTACACATATGAACAAGGACCACGTGGTTACATTGAAGCCGAGACAAACAAGAACTCTACAAGTATATTGTTGTACTAACACTTTTTTTGATAACAGATTAACACGGATATGATCTCCTCCTCTTGGGTTTTTAGTGTAGTGTGGTTATCTATCCTTTATCCTTAGATGTAATCCCCTTCCCTTATATTTCTTTGTAGTTTTGTAGTCTTATAAAAAATAATTAAAAATATCCCTTCAAGGATTTAAAACAAAAAAACAAGGACCACGTGGTTGTGGTGTGTATTCATCCCCTCCCCACCACCGACCGTGGTTCTTTCCCTCTCCATTTCCTTCATCGGTGTTACGTATGCGTTTGTGTGCGACCTTGAAGTTGGGGCAACTGTGTGTTCATGATTGACCTTACCAGCTGAGTGTAAGAATGTGGGCGGGTTCACTGCTAGAACCTGCTAAGTGACTGTGAAACGTTTTCGACCACTTGTGTGTCCTCTTTTGATGGAGACTGTGGAAACCACAGAGAGTTACGTTGACAATGGCCTTCCAGTTGGCTTTTGGGACTCATGCTTGGTACCGGGTCAGAGATCGCGGTGACCCCCTCCAGACTTGACTGGGACAGAGATTGCCGTGACCCCCCCTCCCCAGACCTGCCATTTTGCTTTCCCTCCTCCAGGTACAGAGCAGACCAAGCAGATTGTGTTTGTACCCAGCAAGGAGCCAGCATTCGTCACGGTCCCTCGGAACAGCTTTGGAGAGCCCTTCGTACTGAGCCCCAGTATGTGGTCCCTGATCATTGAAGCGGAGGGGGTTTTGCTGGTAAGGACCGCTCTCCTCTTTTTTCTCCTCTTTACCGCAGACAAGCTAGGAGAGCAAAGTCTTAACCTTTTGGCCCTTTGTTTCAGGATTACCTGGTCTTGCTGCCCAGTTCGTACTACGAGGCTCGTATTTTGCAGGTGAAAGTCTCGGAGCCTTGTACCTACAACCCGTCTCCAGAACAAGCTGGTCTAAAGTAAGGCTTCCGTTCCAATCTTTGTCATGATAGGGCCAAGCAGAAGCTGACCTTGAGCCCTAAAAGACCCCCATCAGTGCTCTGATTAATAAAAAGGGGTGCAGCGTCTACCCAGCAGTTTTAGGTGCATCATTAGATTTCATCGAGAATGTGCAGGGTAATTCTTTGATCTACTGTGCTTCTTGTATCTTGGAGGACAGTAAAGAGAGAGATGTATTTCTGGTCCTCTTTGGAACTCAACAAAATGGGCAGTGGAGGATATTTGCTGATGGACAAAATCACAGCTGGTTTAGAGCAGGAATTCATTTGTGGTTGGTCATTCACGTTGCTGTTGTGGGGGGGGGGCAATGGCATATGGGCTTTTCCGCGTACTGGACTTACTCCTGATTTTCATGGCAGTCAATCCACAAACATTGGAATTGATTTGGGCATGGCTGTTCCATTTGTCTGACCTCCCTGTGAATTTTCACACTTGTACAGTGAGTTCATTTTCCTCCGAATGTGCCTTCAGTAATGAGGGTTTTCAAGGGACGGTGCTGTCATCATCGGTGGTGTCATTGGTGGCATCAAAGCACCACCACCCTCCCTGTCACTAAAATATTGATTATATTGCTGAAGCGTAACAGTAGGCTTAGAGGAGAGGTGTCGAACTCATTTGTTATGCCAGTTTGGTGTAGTGGTTAAGTGCGCGGACTCTAATCTGGGAGAACCGGGTTTGATTCCCCACTCCTCCACTTGCACCTGGCTGGATGACCTTGGGCAAGCCGTAGTCCTGACAAGAGCTGTCCTTGAAAAAAGAGCAGTTTCTGTCAAGAGCTCTCTCAGCCCCACCTACCTCACAGGGTGTCTGTTGTGGGGAGCGGGAGGGAAAGGAGTTTGTAAGCCCCTCTGAGACACCTTTGGGTAGTGAAGGGCAGGGTATAAATCCAATCTCTTCTTCTTTTTCTTATGGGGGCCAGATCTGATATAAATGTCACTTTGACGGGTCAGGCCATCCATGCCATAAAATGTAATGCCAGGTACCGGAGGTAGAAACCATATAAAGGACACAGGCAAACCCGATTAACAGTATTATTTTTTACTCAAAGTACAAACATGCTTAAAACATTAACACACTTATAGTATTTCCTTAAAGTACCTCCCTGATGCCCACCCTCTCACTTCCACCACCCATTACTCATTAGCACTGGGATGGTATACAGGGGAAAAATGCACAGCCTTGTTCATCTGGCAGTAAAGGTAGTGACCAGTTGCTCATGGGCCGGATACGAGCCCTGGATGGGCTGGATGTTTGACACCCTTGAGAGGGTTCTCTGAATTCCCAGCTTTCATTTTAAAAAAAGTAAGTCTCTAGCCTTTTCCCTCATGGAAATATAAGGAGAAACGCATATCTCTGAATATAAGATGACTCCCCCCCCCCCCAATTGTTACACACAAATTGTTTTTACTGGACATACCAGTAACTTGTATGTGATTGTAAGATGACCGCCTGTCTTTTTTTGGATGGCATACCCGGAAAAAGACCCCTCGTCCTGCACTTGAGTATATACTGTATGCAACATCAGGTTCTGTTTTCTGCAGTGGTATGTGAAAACACTGAGAATTTTCCAAGTATCTGCTGAGAAAGACCCGAAGGCCTTAGAAAGATGGGGAAAGATGGGGAAATGGGCATAGCTGTGGTGTCTTTTTTGTGGCTGTCTCATTTCCCAGTTTTTGCCCTTTCCCCTTTCCAAACTAACGTGGAAGCAATGGCTTGGATCCTCTGACATCATGCCTGTCATACTCCTTTTTGGTCATCATGGGGCCCCTGCTCTGCTGTGACCCTTGCTTTCCCCACAACTACTGTATGCGCGCAAGATCTGTGTTTTCCAAGGAGACTTTATGCCCGCAGAAATGCTAGCGGTAGAGGTGGGCACTGCACAGTAGGAAACTCTGTAGCAGCCAAAGAGAAGCGCAGGGGGAACAGTGTCATAAGATCCAAGCCATTAAGTCAGGGGTCCCCAACCTTTTCGAGGCTGTGGGCACATCTGGAATTCTGCCACCGCATGGTGGACGTAGCAACAAAACAGCTGCCACAGAAGGCGGGACCAGCCACAAAATGATTGTCACAGCCTAACTTCAGTAACGCAATGTAGATCCCGGTTCTGTGGCGGCAGGTGCTACCAAAAGCAACATTTTTAAAAAATCTGCTCAATAGTCAATCAGAAGCCTTGCTGGGCAAAAGCCCTACAAGCCCCACCCACTAAAAACACTTGTCGAGCACCAGAAAAGGGGTTGGTGGGCACCATGGTGCCCACGGGCGTTACATTGGGGACCCCCGCATTATGTGGTGTTTGCCACAATGCTTCTAGGTGCAAGATAGGCTCCCGCCTGTAGCCCTGGAGTCAATGTGTTCTGCCTTTCGCCAGATGCTATTTCAGAGGCTCTCTGAGACAAGCCAGTATTTTATTCTACCAGATGCCTTGAGGCAGAAATGATCTCGTTCCTGTTCTTTCTAGCTGCCTCCTGTATAAGTACTTGCCTGTGGAGCGGTTCCCCTTTGGGTCAGGTGAAGACGCTGTGTGCAGATGGGACAACAATTTACCAAAACCCTGTCCTAGGGAGCAGGTCACCCTTTCGTACCCTGAGATGGTGTTATGTAGTGGCAGTGATGTAAGTAGTTCCACTTGCACAGCTGAATCAGAGCTTGCCACTGCAGTGCTTATCTTCTCTATACTTTCCCCCGGGTGTAGCCCTAGCCAGAATGAATCTTCTTATTTTTCATGAGACTAGAGAGAGGTTACAGCTGCATATCTGGAGCATGAGTCCTACTGACCGTAGTGGGATTTGACACCTAAGTAAAATGTATGTGGGATAGCCCTGTCTGCTGGTACTGACAAAACTTTCCCTTACTCGGTGTGGTTTTGGGATGCTCCTCGTGGGAGGGATACACACAATAAACATTGGGCTGGAGTTGAAATTCGAGACAACAGTGGAGCTAGCTATTAACTTCCATATTGCGTCCACTCATATATCTTACACTAATATGCCTGCATTTCAGTTCTGAGGTCATGATTTCTGCATGTTTGCCTCTACCAGAGTTTTCCCCAAAAGAGGGTTTCCTTGAATGAAGACAGCATTTCATAGAATCATGATATCGGAAGGGGCCATAAAGGCGATATAGTCCGACCCCCCCGCTCAATGCAGGATCTGGCTAAATCATCCCTGACAAATGTTTGTCCTGTTGTTGCTGGAAGACTGCCAGTGAGGGGGAGCTCACCACCTCCCTAGGCAGCTGATTCCACTGCTGAAACACTCTTTCTGTAAATTTCTTTCCCCCTAATATCCAGCCAGAATTTTTGAAAGATCTGAGAGGGGAGGTTTTAGGGGCCGCGGTGTCTCAAGTGGTTAAGACGCTGAGCTGCAGACTGGAAGGTTTGTAGTTCGGCAGTTCGAGACCCTAGTACCGTGTGACAAAGTGAGTTCCCGTCTCCGGCCCCAGCTCCTGCCAACCTAGCAGTTCGAAAGCAAAAAACTGCAAGTAGATAAATAGGTACCGCTTCGGTGGGAAGGTAACAGCGTTCCGTGCGCCTCGGCGTTTAGTCATGCCGGCCACATGACCATGGAAACGTCTTTGGACAGCGCTGGCTCTTCGGCTTGGAAATGGAGATGAGTACTGCCCCCTAGAGCCGGATTCAACTAGCTTTCAAGCAAGGGAAACCTTTACCTTTACTAGGGGAGATTTTAGTTTAGGATATCATGGAGCCCAGCCTGGCACCCTTTTCTCTTTTAACTTTTTTCCTCCTCTTGTATGTAGGTGGAAGTTCACCTACGGATCACCGTTCCCCATCCCGGGAGGTACATGCTCCTAGTGGAGTACGCCAATGCGGACCCTCTGCAGACGATTGATGTATCAGTGAGCTCACCGCAGCACGCTGTTCAGCCAGGCACTCTTGCTGTGTACACTTGCGAGTACAGGTATGCACCCGGGTAGAAGAACTAGACTCAGTGGAGCAATACGCATCTGAGCTAATGTGCAGTGCAGAGATATTCTGGCTCCTTTCTTTTAATTGATAATATTACTGCGGTGAAAGTCAGAATTTACAGTAAGCCTGCCAGAGACGACAGAGCAGTAACTGAACCTTCATAAGAACGTAAGAGAAGCCATGTTGGATCAGGCCAATGGCCCATCCAGTCCAACTCTCTGTGTCACACAGTGGCCAAAACCCAGATGTCACCAGGAGGTCCACCAGCGGAGCCATTTATAACTTGGCTAAAAGGACACTTGAAACTAAATCTGGGAGTAGAAACAGAAAACTGAACTCCATTGGTAAAACCAATCTATTTAGGAGGGCTTTTCTGCACGGGCGGTAGAGCTGCACTGTACAAAAGAGTTCACAAACTTACTTGGATAAATTATTAGAGACTGACTTTACTGCTCTGTATAGCTGATTGTCAAGCAAGATCCTATTATGTAACTTCTTTACCGCGTAATGTGTCATGTGAATTCTTACGCGATGCTTAAGTTCTTTTTGGTGATTCCAGACTTCTGAAGTCCTAATGTATTTGTTGTTGAATGTTTGTTGGTTGTACTGACTCACTGTGTGTAATCTGCCTAGCGTCACTGTGAGAAAGGCAGACTGCAAATAAGGTAAATAAATAAAAACAAAATCAAAAGATCAAAGAAAAAAGTGACAAAGATCAGGCCCACAGTGATCTATGGCTTTAAGGTCACTGTAGGTGGGTTCTTTAGGGAAATCAATCACATTGAGGAAGAGGATTCACAATTACTGTGGGCTCCCCTTGTTAACCCCAAGCACTGACATTAACCACATGCGATCCAACACATTACTTGGATTAGTTCCAAGAGGAATTTTTTGATCCTCTACCCACTCTCTTTTATAATTGACGAAACACCCTATGCTTTCAAGGTCTTGTGTTCAGAGCTATGTTTTCATTTACTGCAATTTGGTGGAAGGCACTCGCTGTTCCGATTCTCAGTATTGTACACGCCAGGGCCAGAAAACGGAGCCAAACTGTCCACATCCTAAAAACAGGACCTGGTTCCACTGGAAATAGCACAAGCATCCTGAGGCCCCAATGCTCTGTTTAGACAAACGGGCCGCGTTTCTGTGCATGACAGATTGGCTGCATTGTTTGGGAACTTTTCCTCGCAAGGTCTGATTTCAGGCCGCGACCTTAACAATGAGGAAGTGAGGGCCCTGGGATATCCGTAGGAAGCATGCCCTTGTTGTCACCCAAGAAAGGCCATTCTGTGATGCTATGTATTATGACCGCCAAGAAGAAAAAAAAATATATCTGGCCAGAGAAGGTCATCCTTGAGCTTGGTGACTGCTTTTGTCTTGCAGTTTCCTTTGCCGTGGGATGGTTTTAGATCCGCTGAATCGCTTGGTGGCTTTTGACTTGGTCACGGAGGCTACGGTTCGGCTCGCTGCGGATAGGACTCGTTTCTTCCTGGTAAGGCTTTGATGTGGGGCACAGCTGACTCCGGCACAGATCCACTGCCAGACCTTGATGGATCCAGATCATGTGTTTGTGTAGTGGAACTTGGAGTTTTGATTTTACCCCAGGGCTCCTCAGCCTATCTGAGTCTACGGGCACCTTTGGAACTCTAACACGGGGTGATGGGCACAGCCACAAAAATGTCTGCCATCGGAGGTTGAGACACACACACGTACGGGCACGCGCACGCACACACACACAAGAAATCGAAGTGCAGGGGACAAGAGGCGTGATACACTTGCGAAGAGGAGTGAGAAAGAGAATCAAACCAGTGTTCTGGTAGCAACTGCCACCAAAGCTGTTACTTTAATGTGTGCAGCCAATCTGATCTCCAGTGGTCAATCAGAAGCCATACTGGGCAGGAGCCCTCCCCCCTTTCTAAAAACACTTGGTGGGTGCCAGGAAAGATATCTGCAGCAGCATGGCACCCCCTGTTTTAGATTTTCAGGCGTGGAAGACTGAGACAAGCCCATTAATAATTCCTGGGCTTCTAACCTGAGGTTAGTGGTAGGAAGAAGAGGTGGGCTTACTCTCCAGAAGCAGTTAACCCTAAAGAACAGTCTTAAACGTAGGGGAAGAACCAGGCAAGCTGCAGAAGTCCATCATTCCTCCATGTTTCTCCTTTGCCCCCTACCTCTAAGAGAGAGTCTCTGTCTCTCTCTGTCTCTCTCTGTCTCTCTCACTGTCTCTCTCTCTCTCTCTGTCTTCCACCTACCTTTGAACCTAATTTGATCCCTGCCCCCATTGCAGCTTGCATAAAAACAATTTAGTGCCAGTTTTTGCACAGTAGATTTTGGAAAGGATCTACATTCTACACTGCAGACTTTTCTCATGTTGTTTGTCAGGGACTCCTGTCCCACTAGAGCAGCATTTCATGCAGATCACTGAGCTGCGGGGGGGATGAAAGTTCCATTCCTCTAATGGAAGATTTAGTTTGGATTCAACCCTTTGTGCTTAATCTAAGTCCTCTAGCCTGCCCATACAGAGTTGACTAAAATGTGAAGCCAGTTTTTGCTGTAGATCAACAAAGCTGGATTGTATCTATGCTGGAGTTTGGGATAGCAAAAGTTGCTAGTATTGCAAGTAAGTGTTTTTGTTAGTGGCCTGTTTGTGTAAGCAGTGTGACGTTTCACATTTTGAGGAAGCATATAGTAGGGAGAGGGTACAGAGCTAGTGTGATGTAGTGGTTAAGAGTGTCAGACTAGTATCTGGGAGACCCAGGTTCTAATCCCCATGAAATACATTATTGCAAGGAAATGGTAGGAACATCAGCTATAAACACATCCAAAGTTGACCACACCGAGCTATTCACGTATGTTGAGCGGTGTGCAGAGTTGCTCTTAGTAATGAGAATCAGAACTGGGGAAGATGTTGTGGCCCATGTGACACACCAGGTTTGAATCCACACGCGTGCCATGGAAGCTGACTGGGTGACCTTGGGCCAGTCTTGCCCTCTCAGCCTAACCTACCTCACAGGGTTGTTGTGAGGATAAAATGGAGGAGGGGAAAATAATGTAAGGTGCTTTGGATCCCCTCTGGGGAGAAAAGCCAGGGTATAAATTAATTAATTAAATGAATAGGGAAGCTGCTGCTGCTTCTATACTTAGAAAAATCATAAAATGTCTTTTTTTCTAATGATAAGAAGTAGCTGCTACTTTCCTCTGTGTGTTTCGCTGCAGATGTTTTGTGTGAGTGTGATAGAAAATCTGAGAAAATCTGGGACTTCTTATCAATTTCACCTTGCAGTTCTCAGGTTACTTTACCCACACACACTCAAAAAACAAAAATTTCTCTACGTGACTTTCTTTCCAGGAAAGGAAAAAATATGAGTAATTCTTTCTTCTCCCTCCCTTTCTTTCCTCCTCTGTTTTTTAGTATAAAGTGTACCTTGTACCCTATGACCAATTTACCATGGAGTTTGTGGAGCCAAAGGTCCACTGCATCAGTGTCCACGGAATATTTGCACCTAATAGGTAAACAACCTTAAGGTTTCTCAAACTTCTGTTTGCATGCTCTTTTCCCAGTGCAGACACAAAAGTACCTTATATCAGGCGTTAAGAGACTCTGTGTTTATTTTAATGGGGAAATACTGAGGCACTCTTTTTATTTAGCACCACCTGTGTTCCTGGTACTTTACAAAAGATAGGTGACTGCCCTAAAGTGCTGATGAACTACGTAAAAAGAAGCAAGGGGAACATGGGGGGGGGAATAAGAAAAGCAATTAAGGAATGTGTAAAAATGGGTATTTAAGTTTCTTTTCATTTGCGTTTCTTTTCGTTTCTTTTCGTCTTGCAAGGCAGCACAAAGAATGTCAGAAGACAGGTGGTGTTGTGTGTATACATAGCATTCTGAACTACAAATATACAGATCCTTTGAGCAGATGCATCTTGTTCTGTGCTTAGTATGACTGATGCACGCTTGTATATATTAGTGTATGTGTGAGCACAAGTAATGTATGAAAGCTGGTGTGTTGTGACAAAGTGCTGGATTGGAGGACCTAGAAGACTTTTCTTTTTGTTTCATTTGGCATTTCCCTCAATGATCCCTCCTTCCTAACCAATGTTTTATGTGCTTGTTAACTGTTTTGTAATTATTTTAACTCTGTTTTGTTTTAATGGTGTATGTTTGGGATGGGGGGGTTGATTTTTAATTTTTAATGGTTCTATCATCATTTAAGCTGACTGCTCATCAATTTCATTGAGTGCCCACAAGTTCTTGTATTGTGAGAAAGGGAGAAAAGTACTTCTTTCTCTACCTCCTCTATCCCATCCATAATTGTGTAAACGTCTATCATGTCACCCCTCAAAAGTTGTTTCTCCAAACTAAAGAGTCCTAACCTCTTTAACCTTTCATAGGGAAGAAGAAAGTTCTATCTCCTTAATTGTTTTAGTTGCCCTTTTGTGCACTTTTCCCAATGCTATTTCAGCTGGTATGTGGTGCAGGAGCACTGGGACTTGGCAGCAGTGGAGAAGGATGATGATGAGGGTCTTGTTGGACTCTTACATGCCCAAATTAGTAACTTGCCCCACATTTTTTAGGGTTTTATTTGAACAGGGACCAAAGTTTTCATATTCTCACGGCCACAGGGAGTAGGACGTTACTCTTGCCATACAAAACTCTTCTTCCTTCAAGCCATGCAATTCCCATAAAATTAATGAGTTATGGTTTTATATGTATTTTTTATTTGTGCAGTTAAAGTATTTATATCCCAGCTTTCTCAGCATTCCAAATGCCAGAAAGGCTGGAAATGATAAAAGAGATCAAAAACTAAAAAGGCATGTATGAACACTAAGCTCAGCAGCAAAAATTCATGAAGCCATTCAAGTGACTGAATCAGAATTAATTAAACCACGGAACTGGGGGGGAGCCCCCAAAACCTCAGCCCAAAGAACTCAGGCAAACGCCTTCTAGAAAAGGATCATTCTTTATGACACTCAGTTCTAGAGAAGAAGTGTGTAACAATTGAAAAAGCCTCCCTCTGTGTCTCAGAACAATGAACCTGTTTGATTGTGGGGACAGCAAGAAAAAAGGAATGGTTTACAGTCAAACTCTTCCTTTTGCTCCCATCCCTTATATGGACATAACTGTTTACAATTGTAGAGTCTTTGAATACATAAAACATGTATACATGATCAAAACAGCCAGGGTAGAACTGCCACAACTGGCCTTTCCATAGTCCTTTTCATGATTAGGTGTACTAGCTCTGTGTTGGGAAGCACCTGGAGAATTTGGTTTTGGACCTGGGGAAGGTAGGGTTTGGGGAGGGGAGGGACCTCAGCAGGGTATAATGCCATAGAGTCCATTGCCCAAAGCAGCCATTTTCTCCAGGAGAACTGCTCTTAGCCTCACTTCAAAAAGGATGTGGACAAAATCGAGAGGGTGCAGAAGACAACGACGAGGATGGTCAGGGGTCTGGAGACTGAGCCCTACGAGGAAAGGCTAAGGG